ATTAATGGAAGTGTAACATTATACTATTAGTATTTTAAGATTATGTGAAACTAGATGGACAGGGGCGGGAAAGAGGAATCTAAATTCTCAGGAAGCTATTTTGTTCCCAGGACATACAGAGGAAAATCCTCCCCACAGTGGAGGAGTGACCGTGATGCTATCGAAAGAAACAGAGAGAAACAATTTTCTGTTGCTCAGTAAAATCACATTGAAACTTGAAAGTTACATAACATGTTATAATAATAGAAACCAGTATCATGTAGGAAATCTCAGTGATAAAGAAGTTAGGAAACACTTTTCAGTTACAGTCTCTAACAAGTACCAGGTGTTGCAGCAGTTAGCTGAAGAGGTAAATAATGAAGTCTGCTGGTATCAGATCAAAGGAATCTGGAATTAATCTTGTGTAGAGGTCCTTGGTAAGAAAAAACGGAAACACAACGCATGGATAATGCCAGAAATCATTAAAATAATCGAAGGAAGAAAAAGTAAAAAGGCAGACTTAAACAAATAGAAAACTAGAGCTGCTAAAGCTAGAGCTCAGGTAAAATACACAGAAGCTAATAAGGAAGTTAGGAGGCTAAAAAGATCTGATGAAAGACATATTTAGATGACCTAGCACAAGAAGCGGAGACAGCAGCAAACAAAAGGAAACATCAGAGATCTTTATGGTAACATAAGGAAATTAGTGAGCAAATACAGTCAGTAAAGGAAAAATTCTCACCACACTAAATATTAAATAGACAGACGGGCCGAATATTTTAAAATACTTCTGAATAGACCAGTCCCAGAGGTCCATCCAAATATCCAGCCTTTAGAAACTGGAACTAGGTATCAACTGTGAGATACCATCTAAAGAGGATATTAGGAAAGCTTTCAATCTTCTGAAGAAAAAAAAAAGGCCGCAGACCCAGATGGTATCCCAGCTGAAGCCATTAGAGCCAACAAAAACACATCAACTGAATTGCTTCAAAGATTATTTAGTAAAGTCTGGGAGACCGAAGAAATACCAGCAGACTGGAAAGAATGATATCTTGTGAAACTTCCCCAAAAAAAAAGGTTATCTGCAGGAATGTGAAAACTATAGAGGATTTATGTTGCTGTCAATTCCTGGAAAAATATTAAGTAGGATTATTTGTGAAAGATTAAAAGATGCTATTAATAAAAAGCTAAGAGATGAACAGGTACGTTTTCTGCCAGACAGATATTGTACTGACCAGATAGCCACTTTACTTAAAATAATAGAGCAAAGCATTGAACTGATTCGCCACTTTAAATTGGGTCCTTAAACTATGCAAAAGCTTTTGGGAGCACTGACAGGCAATCTCTCTGGAAAGTAGTGGGACACTATGAAATCCTACAGAAAATTATTAACTTAGAAAGACAACATATAAAGGCATGAAACGTCAAGTTCTAAATGAGGAAAAGCTAACAGATACAAATCTGATTCACGGAATGGACAAATGGCTCGTGGACCAATGCCAGTTGTATTTTTTTTTAAAGATATCTAGTCCCGGTACTGCTGTTCTCCTACAAAATGAGGTTTGTATTAGAAACGTTTCAATATTTCACTTACTTACTTACTTACTTAGTCGCTCCTCTTCTACCTTGGGGTGTAGAAGTTTGCCAGAGAGATCGCCAGACATCTCTATCAGCAGTTTTCTTTCTGGCTTTGTTCCATTGCAGCCCTCTGTCAGTTAGGGACTGTCGGATGTTGTCTTCCCAGCGCACCCTGGGTCGTCCCGGAGGTCTGGTTCCCTGGTTCTTAGCCTCCCATGCCAGCCATGGTGGCCGATTTTCTCCCATTCTGCATACATGTCCAAACCATCGTAACTGTGACTGATCCACTCGGGTTAGTAAGGGCTGGGTATCAAGATCCTGACGTATTGTCTGATTGCGGACTTTGTCCCTTCTTGTCACTTAGACCACCTTTCTCAGGTATCTCATTTTCGAGGCCTGCAGCTGGCCTCTGTGAGCTGTTGTCATTGCCCATGACTCACACCCATAGGTCAGGACTGGTACATAGGTAGAGCGGTAAACAGCCATTTTCGTCCTCTTGCCAATTTCTCCTTTGCTAAGAAACCCTCGGTTTATGGTCTGGAAGAGTCTCTCAGCAGCTGCTTTTCGTGTAGCCAGCTCAGTCTTAATGCCTCCGTTTTGGTCTAGTACAACTCCAAGGAATTTGAACTGGTTAACCTGCTCCAATGTATACTGTCCCATCATGATCTGGTGTTTCTTCTTCTCTCTTGAGATCACCATGGTTTTAGTTTTGGAGATACTGATGGTCATCCCTTTCCTTTCAAGCTCTTCCTCAATATTTCACACAGTTCTTAATGCAAAGAACTGTGTACACTACGGGGCAGTGATGCCACTTTTCTTTGACAAAAAACATCCAAAACGGGGTCAAAAATATCTAAAAACATCTAAATTTGCGTTAAACTTCTATAAAAACATCCAAATGGAAAGTCACAAATTCCATAGAAATTGATATGACTTACCCTATAGAATCATGTCCTCATCTTTACTGACGTTTGCCTCACAAGATCCACAGGATAAACTTAGCTTGGATGATGAATTTGAAGATTCAGATCCAAAAGGACTCTGGTATGCTTTAGCTGTTCCAATTTCTTCTAATACCCAATCAGGGAGCTGATAATTGAAACAACCTTTTCCTACTCTTATCAGGCCGAATTTTAAGAGGTCAAATTTCATCCTTTTTCTTAGGCTAGATATGATAAATTGACTCCCAATGAAAAACTTCTAGAAAGACATCTACCATCTGAACGTAAAAAAACGCCATCTAAATGTAAGGGGAAACATCTAAATCTGGATGTAAAACATCAAAAGTGGCAACACTGCTACGGGGTCCTCTGCAACAAGTGACAAAAGTCCGTTGAGAAAGTAACACATGAAGGTGGTGGATTTCTTTCATCTACATCCAGCTAAGAAAATTGTCTCATAAAGCACAGTAGTTTAACTTTTAAGCACGGAGACTTGACATTAATGTCCACTAGGCATTGATTGAGATATGGGGTATCAGAGTGAGGTTGGTGTGATGATATACCTCCCGACCAGGTAGAAAAGTATTTATTCCACCAGGACTGTGTTTTGTTCGGGTCTCTTTCCTTTCCCCAGGCTGATAAATCGGATGAGAGCCTAGGACCGGTACCGGAACACCTGCAACAGGGAGCAAAGAGAAACATAAAGTGCAAGATCATCATGGTCTATGAAGAATGGTGCAGCAGGAAGTGACCGGGAGATCTGGCCGCACGGCTGGCTAGCGTAGTTGGCTAAACCTGACTTCGCGGCAACCGGGTGACGAACTCCTTGTGGCCCGGGTTCACGCCCGGGGGTAGGCAGAAAAGCCACATTTCTCCCAGATTTACGGTATCTGTTATGGAATCAAGTGGTTGCGATATCCATAATACCGAGCCCAAGGGTTAACAACTCATGGCTTCTGGATACTTTAAGAAAAAAAAAAAAGGAGATCTGGCCGACACTAACGCTCAGTGGGCAGACCCGACAATACGACTGCTACTTATACCATCCGAGCTGTAACCATGCGCTAGCATGTCGGTTCTTAATTTAACCAAGCTCAGCTTGCTAAGAGGCAAATTGACATTGGTAAGTTAGCCAGACTAAGCTATTATGGTATGCATAAGCTGCACCAAGATTTGGCCATTGTGAGACCTTATATTGCTGCACTTAAAGCTGAAACCCCCTGAGAACCAACTGCCCTAAGAACATTAAAAAGAGGTTGCAGATTCTTACATCTCCCTCCCCCGCCCCAAACCCTCAATCATTTCTTTGTGGCAGCGCCCCTGGCTCCATTCACAGTTCCCAGGAATCTCAGTAAAAATTGCACCCAGGAACCAGAAGACGCAATCCATGATACGAACCCAAAACCTTCAGAGCTGGCGGCAAACAGCTTAGCCAATTAGTTGCAGATATATTTCTTTTGTTTCTGAGGACAGGAAGTCAAGTTTTATGTTTAAACCGAGCGGAGCGGAGTTCACATTTTTGATAAACCCTTTAAGTTGTTGAACTTGGCGACCAAAGGGAACAGCGCACTGGCAATTTTCCTACTTTAATTTACTTTGTCTTTTTTTCGTCCACAATTTTTGCCATAAATTTAAAGGATAAAGTGTAATCGTCGTAAGTTGCAAGTTATATCCTAACTGTTTGTCAAAAAAGATACGAAATAAAAAGTTAAATCTAGAGCATGTCCTGACAAGCATTTTTTTTTCATCATTCAGTCAATATTGACATTTAAAAGTTAGTTGCATTCACAATTCAACATTTGCAGTTACAAGTTAACCTTCAGTCTTAGCGCTAGCCTTGGTTCATTATTATAGTTTTCAGAATAAAGTATTTATTCAGTGTAATTACAAACCTATTAGTAATTTAAGTAGTTTGATTTGTGCAGAAATTAGGCAGTTTGTGATTTCACCAGAAATTTTACTTTTACATTCAGTCAGTAGTTTCCCAGTGCTTTCTTATTCTAATTCTTCATGGTTGGCCACCGATACCACTGTCGAATCTAAAGTAAGGCAGTCTGCTGCCAAATCATCTGCAGCTGGGATCGAATCCAGCACCTTGGCATCATTGAAGAGCACTCACATTACTTGAGCCACAGACGCTGACTAAGTCAAATAATCTGTTCCTTTTTTTTTCTACCTTTCTAATCTATGACTTATAATAACTATAACTACATGAGTGGTGCTATTTATTTTCTTGTTTTTGTTTTCAGGGATACAGTGAGTTTATCATTATAATACCCAGAAATGACACAGCAACAGCTTCAGAAAAGTAACCCTCGCAGACCTTGTAAAATGTGAATTGGCTGCCTAATGTTCTTGGTCCAGACATCTGCAGTTTCTGTGCTGGAAACAATGTTTCTGTAGAAATTTACCTCAAGTTCTAATTTAGAATTAGTACTGGCAGAAAGTTTTGGGGTGTGGATCAAGTTGTACAGTGTGTGAGTTCATCAATATCTGTCCAAGATGATGGTCAATGATCAGCTGATCCTTGAGGAGGACTATGATGAGAACTATGAACCTACTGAGAATGGTAATAGTAGTAGATCATATATGTACTATATACATTTAGCATTATTGAGTTGCAGATTCTTTGCAGAATATATTTTATCCTTGGAAACTGCCAGACAGACTTGGTCTGCTGCCACTTCCCAAGTCCTGCTTACTTTTTATATCCAAAAACCCCCCTGATGGTCTGATCTGAGCATACGAAACCGAACGCAAAGAAGAAGAAGAAGATATCCAGGATGTCTTCTGTTCCTTTGTGCTCATCAGCTCCTGCCTTTTCTTCCAGGACAATTTTTTTACCAAAGTTTGAACACTAAATGCTGGCAGTTTTGCTGATTGATTTTAAATCCTCTGGAAGACTGATTGTTGACTCTGATCCATTGTGACAGCCCCCCCCCCCAAAATGGTTTACCCATTAGAGAGAGTACCTTGTGATGCTATACCACAAAAGTATACACCAAAAGAGGATAGGTAGGTAGAGCCACAAGGTAGCCCAATATCAAGGTGGAAAGATAACCTCAGAGAAACTCTGCAACAGTAGTCTGTGTATGGTCGAGGCAGCCAGAAGAACAAGAACCAGAACATTATACCTCCCTGAAAACCCAGAGCGATAAAAGAAGAAATGAAGAAGATCCATTGGTGTTCGTTTCACATGAGCCTTATAAAGGACTTACATCACTTAGGGTGAGGGTGGGGTAGATTCTTATCCCCTAATACAATACCAAAAACGATATCTCTATAAGGAATGTTGCAGAACTCCTTTTCTTCTCTGAGCTACGAAAGCATAGGAGTTGAAGATAGGTCCTGGAACTTCATACATCTTCTCCCTTTTTATCTAGTGACTCCAAGTGTTTATAGCTCTGCCTGTATATTATCTTTCTACTGTCTTCAGGGCCTGCCTCGTGGTCTACTCCCATCCAACTCTTGTGTACACATTTTTTGTCTGTCTGATAACTGCCACTCTCTTTATATTGCCAATAATTGTCGTCTGTTAGACCTCCTGATGCTGGTTTAAATAGATTAAAATTTCATTGTTGCTTTTCACCCTGCCTTCTCCACTGTTGCATCTTTGATGGGTCTAAAGATTTCTCTTAAGGCTCTGTGGAGAGACATATTAGGATGTATGGTTATGATTCAGCACAGCTCCTGCCTGGGATTAGACATAGACTGGTAAAGTTTCCTCCACTATTTTTAGCTATTTCATTTTCATAGAAGGCCAGCACATAGCCTGGAAGGAAGTTTTATATTAAATAAACAGTTATCCAGGGCCCCATTTTTGGGGGAAAAAGAACAAACCCACTTCATCCCTAGCAAGTATGTCATAAAAGTCTACGAGTTAGGGGTGTATCCTATGAAGCCTGAGGCAAGGAACCACCAGTTAGCATACAAACAAGTCACATCTGTAAAATGGATGTGTATGCAAAACTCAAATTTTGAACCCACTGCATCCCTAACAAGCATTTAGTAAAAGTCTACTAGTTAGGGTGTATCCTTTGAAGCCTGAGGTGAAGAACCACCAGTCAGCATACACACAAGTCACATCTGTAAAATGGATGTATATGCAAAACTCAAGTTCTGAAACAAGACCAGAATCCAATAAACAATAGTTATAAAGAATAAATGAATGAAGAATTGACATCACTGCGGTCGGATCAGTCCCATATGTGCTCTGCCTCCTTTCTCAGTAGCCAACCCAGGAGTCCCCTTCTGCTGAAGCCAGCTGCAACATGATTACAAGTCAGGGGTGGAAAATTGTCCATACCCTCTGCTCACTAACAGCTGGATCATTCTCTCCAGTTATTGATGCTCTGTTTGTTCTGTTGCATTGTTTACTTTATCCCAGAGAGCCTCCACCACGTCCCCTTTATCCCAAAGGAGCTGACCACCCAGAGGGGTGGCAGCAGCTAATCTTTCAGTCTCCTCATTACCTTGTACACCTGAATATCCTGGGCAAACAAATGTGCAACATGCTTCTTATCTGAGTCTATCAAATGTTGCAAATCACCCTGAGCACAGGACACCAGTTTCTATTTTCTGAAGCATGCTCGGCGAGTTACTTACAGTTGCAAAGTTATAGTAATAAAGACTGCATGAAATTTCACAGACTGAGAGGCTTTGCTTTGTTAGAGGATACATGGTCGATTAAGATAAGTTACATTGACATATAAGGTATAGTTATTGATTAGAAAGAATTATCGTGCATATTATAATTTTGTTTCAAAATGTTATCTGCAGAAATTATTGAATATGCAGCAAGTATTGGAATAGATTTTGACAAAGAACCTCAACTTCTTTGGATAGCAAGGGAAGGAATCAATGCACCTCTTCCAGAAAACTGGAGACCTTGGTAATAAATATACATATCTCATGCATTTTTAATGTTTTGTCCCCTGTGTGGGTTCCAGGGCCCCATTGTGGGGAAAACTAGAATAGACCCACTGCCTCCCCAAAAGCATGCCGTAAGAGTCGACTAATTGGGGAGCTTCCTTTGAAGTCGGAGTGCGTCTGCCGGAGAGGCAAGGAACCAACAGACTTTATTCAAGAGAATGAGATCTGTAAAACTGAGGCACATGCAACACTCAGGTTCTGGAGCAGGACTGCAGTTCAGTAGTGGACGAGCAACCAGAACTTTCAGCCAGAGTGTACAGCTGGTGAACGCAAAGAAGAAAGAAGAAGATAATGTTTTGTTGTTTTTTAATTTTCACCCAATAAGAGATGTAAGAATGAAATTGTGTATGAAAGAAAAGAGTAGAGGAAATAATTTTGAACCGGGTTGCACGCACAATTTAACCCTTTGAAAATGAAGTTTCTTTCTTTAATTATTCTTTGGCCCCATGAGATCTACATTGGTGATTCATGCCAGTTTAGTCTGTTTATTATGTGCGGATACGTTGCTAATAAATGTTTTTAAATTATTATTAATTTAAAATTAGATGCAATATTTTCAATGAAGTAACACTTTATAAAAAAAAAAATTTAGAATGGTCATTCAGGCTTTTCTGTTCTACCTTTCACATGACCCTCCTTTCATACATTATGGCATGCACACATTTCCTTATTTATTATTCTTAAACAATAATATGTAAAGGATAAATGTGCCAATAATAATTACCCTGAAACTAATAAATTCTTATGATCTATATTATATTATTTATAAGTTACCCCCATGTTGGTTCTGGGGCTCCATGAATAGACCTTTTCCCCCCTCCCCCAATCAAGCATGACATATGAGGTGATTAATTAGTAATCAAGCATGACATATGAGGTGACTAATTAGGAATGTTTCTCTTCAAAGTCAGAGTGCATCTGTCTGAGAGGCAAGGAACGAACAGTTTGTATACAAATAAGCTGGAGTTGTAAAACAGATATGCACATGAAACTCTTGATCAAAACCAAAGTTCAGGAGTGGAACAGCCAGAACTTTCTACTGGAATTGACAGCAGGTGAACATTAAGAAAAAGAAGAAGATTTAAAAGTTGAATATCATAAAGCAGTCATATAGCCGAGGTAGTAAGCCTATCTGTGCTTGTTCAGTGGTCGTGGAACAAAATCTGCATGTTTCCTGGCCTAATATAGTTAGTAATATCCCATTTGCTTTGTCTTTATGAGATCAGTGTTTCCTTTTCAGAATGAAAACAGAAATAGACTGATACCCATTTTGGTAGTGTTGACCCCATATTATTGGCCAAAAATGCGTTCCTTTTATATTAATAGTTGATGCCATTAATCACAAAATTTCTCGATTTTCTTCTTCTTCGCGCTCACATGTTGTAAACTCTTGTTGTTCGTCCACTTCTTGACTCTAGTCCTGTTCCAGAAACTGAGTGTTGCATGCACATCCGTTTCACAGATCTGACTCATTTGCGTGCGGACTGTTTGTTCCTTGCCTCTCAGATGTACTCCGACTTCGAAGGAAGCTCCCACTTAGTCAACTCTTACAACATGTTTTTGGGCAGGCAGTGGGTCTGTTCTTATTTTTCCCACATTAGGGCCCCAGAACCCATGCGGGGATCTCCAAATTGATTCATGATCCCTGTGTGGGTTCCAGGGCTCCACTGGGGAAGACAAGAATGAACCTACTGTTCCTCAACTGTTCGTAAAGGACAACTAATTAGGACTGTGCTAAAATCCTATGTGTTGGTACCAGATGTCGCAGCCTAGCTGCAGCTGACACAGTATGTGCCAACCACCCTTTTAAGGCTAGACACCGATAAAAGAATATGTTTGAGAATCAGAAAGATGTGCAGAGATATTTTGATGATAATGTTTTGTCATTGCAGTCAAACACCAACTGGAGACGTGTACTATTTCAATTTTCAAACGGGGAAGAGCATCTGGGACCATCCTTGTGATGAATTCTATAGGAACATGGTCATAAATGAAAGAAAGAAACAAGACCAAGACAAAAACAGCAGCAGTATGTTTTGATTGTTGTGTATCATACATACGTACTACTCAAAGAATTAAACATGTAGTTCCTGAAAGGAACATACATAACATAACCCTCGACGCATTAGGGTCGTGGAGGTGTATTGATGGAAGCACTAGCACATAAAATCCGCCAACTTTCTGTCTTTCGCTTGATGAATAAGTGTATGATAACTTAGTCCTGTCCTTTTTCTTGATGTTGTAATTCCAGGTTCTTCTTTACCCTCCTCTTCTTCGACTACCCTCCATTGGTCCTTGAAGTACACAGCCTTTGCCAGGTGTCTCACCACGTGCCAAAACCAAGCTAGCTTGCAACCTTTCACCACTGCCAAGAGAGGTTAATGATGTCCAGCAAATTTTATATTTTGTCTCTGATATATTTATTAGTTTTGCATTCTAAATAACTAATTCGTAAAATGTGTCAGTAGTTTTTACATTTAAAAGCCTGAATCCTCCTTTCCATTTCCAAAGCAAGATTCCAAATCTCACATGAAATCCAGAAAGGGTTTGTGATTTATAGTATAGACCAAGTTATATTTATTCTGTGTTTATACATGCAAATTATATTTATAATATGTTTTATGTTTGCAAGCAATATTTATTATTATTTTTATATGTACAGTAAATTATATTTATACTTTTTTCTTCTAATACATTAAGTTAGATTTGTTATGTGTTTTATACATACACTATGTTACAGACCTTAAGAAAGCAAATGAAAGATAAGATCATAATCCAGATAAACAAACTTCACCTGTGACCTCGCAAAAATAATCAGTTCTTAGAATTTTAGTGGAAAATTTGGGCAAGAAAAGGGTCGCTATCTAGTTTTGAATCATATTATGTGTCTGACAACCACAAATATGTGCATGTGGAGCACACGCAGACATCATTAAAACTGGTGGCATAAATAAAAACTTTTGTTTAAAGTGTTTTTTACAGCAAAGGATGAAACATAGTGTTTTTACTATGATCCTACTAATAATTTACAGATTGTCTCGATTAAAATGTCATATTTCTCTACTATAACCCTCACAGTCAAGCATCAATTTCAGTATACCCATTCTCCGATTTTCACAATGAATTAATCATTGTGAAAAAAAATTTTTGGACCCTATTTCACACCTTCAGATGTATTGGGCATATAGGGCTAGACCTACATTTTATAGACCAGTTGGCACTTAGAAGGTGATCTGGCCAGCATCACGCTGAAGTTAATCATTATCAGCAGAAAGTTAGCACCCTGACCTAACGTCATCTTCATGTTTTGAAATGTGAAAACCATCTGAATATCTGAGCACAAAATAAATATTGAGTCCCATAAATTTATTTCATCAGTTCAACTGTTTCAGTAGCGCATTGCCGAGTTTAAAACCTAATTTTTACTGTTTGTTCATTTTTGAGGGGCGGTTGGCCAAACGGTTGAGAATACTAAGCTCTTATGTGGGAGACCAAGGTTCACACCCTCAGTAAGATTGTGGATTTTTTCGGTTGGGGTAAAAATAAAATCCTAACCTGCACAATCTGTGGCGACAACACTAGCCATGCATCTCTAAATCCTTAGGCTCAAAACCCCAACCCCCCCCCCCCCCTCCTTTTTATTTCCTGCACCACAAAAGTGGTAAATACAAGCTGGTAGTTTCATTGTGATGCATTCTGCATCTGTAATTGTAACCATACATCTCTCACTAGCTAAACAAAGGGGTGGGTCACTTGTCATCTATTGACTTGGCTGCCTTCAGTTTGCCCAGATCACTGATAAATGTTGCCTATTTGGATGGTATGCTTTGCTTCATGGATGGCATTTTATCGTGGCCATAACAAAAATTATTATTTCATTATTCTTTCTTTGGCTTTCTATATAGTGCTGTTGAACTTGTAAAGTGAAATAAAATCTAAAAAGTAGACAGAATGTAACGATTTGTCTTTGTGTGCTTTTAATAGTGATTAGATGCATGGTGAATGGTGTATTGTATTAATTATGAATTAGAGTAGGGGTGAGTTGAAAATGGATTAATTAGCTTGTCATGAGAAACTTCTGGCTACTTTGTTTTTAGGCAGAAGCGCTTTGGTTATGATTTTACAGTAGAATATTGCTAACACAAAATCTAAGGGACCAAGAAATCAAGAAATTTGTGTTTAAACAGTTTGTGCTAACTGGGAACTAGTAGATATATTTCTGAATAATAAATCTATGCTGGGACCAACATTTTGTTCATGTTAACCAAGTAATTTCGTGTTAATGAGAGTTTACTGTATCGGTGCTGATATACAAAATAATGTCAAAGCTGATGTAAAATCTAATCTGGAATTCACTTTCTTTAATGCTTGAATAAAGCAATGCTTGCTTCTCTGCAGGTACAAAGAAGAAAACAAAAGAAAAAGATGAGGGAAAGAAGAAAAAACAGAATGCAGAAGTAGATGAATTAAAACCCTTAACAAAAGCTCCAGGACAAAAGGTAAATAAAGAAGTTCTATGTTCTTTTTCTTCTTTTTTTATCAGCATTCCGAGCTCTTCAGGTTCATTGCTGCAGATATCACTCGCCTCCATTCATCTTTCTGGTTGGCCTTCTTTTTCCTGAGGCAATGAATATGCATCTACGGAACACATACCAAGGCTTGCACCAGATGCATTTTCAGAATGTGACACTGAAAGGCTGAAGAGGGTCAGAGAAAAGAAGAAGTAAAATTATAGCAGAATCCCAATGTGGATTCTGGGGCCCCATTGTTGGGAGAACAGAATAGACCCACTGCCTCCTAATAAGCATGTCATAAGAGGCAACTTGTAAGGGTTGTTTCCTTTGAAGTTGGAGTACATCTGCCTGAGAGGTGAAGAAACAATATTCTGCATACAAATAAGTCAGATCTGTCTAATGAACGTGCATGCGAAACTCAAGTTCTAGAACAAGACTAAAGTCCACTAGTGGACAAATAGCCAGAACTTTCTGCTAGAGTTTACAGTTGGTAAGAAGAAGAAGCGCAGCTGATCGGAAGGTCGCGAGTTTGCTCCCTGGCGGAGCCTAACTTTAAAAAAAAATGACTATGGCTCCCAGGTCGACCCAGCCTTGGGTGGGTTCCGAAAGGCAGAAAAGGTCCAAAGAAGATGATGAATAATTTATGAAGACCTGACATTTCACCTTACAATTTTCCCATATGGATTCCATGACCCCTTTCTGTGGGAAAAAATAATAGATCCACTGCCCTTATAACAAGCTTATTGTTTGAAGGAAAGTCAATAAGTAAGTCACAAATAGTAATGGGATTCCAGGAAAATGTAGTTGTTGGTTTCTAAAGGTGTCATTAGGTGACAGCAACATCAAACTTTATGTCTGTTCATTAGGTGATGTTAGGTGTTGCATGCCCATGTGCAACACAGCAAGAAAATGACGACTGTACTTACGAAGTGTACCCTCAAAGAATAATATACTGCTATGCATTGTTGGGGGGGGGGGGGGGGTTTGCAAGCAAAGGACATTCATAAGAAAATACTTACTGTTCAAAAATTCAAGATAGGCTTATCAGCCATGTGCACCTGTGGAAAGGTGCCCCAGACAGCAAAGCATGTACTCTAGGACTGCACTGAATTTGATGCATTAAGGCAAACCTTTTGGCCAGAAAGAACAACAGTGGAACATAAACTCTATGGACCACTGAATGAACAAACAACGACAGTGAAATTTATACAAGAGACAAAACTGCTGATATAGACAACTTATTTCAGGCGAACGAAAGAAGCAGAAAAAGATACTTCCTGTTTATGCTGACAAATGTTTATCCCATAAAGCGGTGCAAAGCTGGGTACATAATTTTCTCAAGGACGCTCTACGATTGTTGATAAAGTCTGATCTGGTCATCCTGTTGTGATTGCAGCAGATGCATCCATGCAGCTGGTGCAGGAGATGATTAGACGTGACAGGCGAGTAACGGTTGACTTTGTAGCAGCTGCAGTAGGGTGCTCACATAGTTTTTGGCCCACTGAAAACCCACCTTGGCAGGAGACATTTTATGAATGACGCAGAAGTTTAATGTGAAGTAAAATGTTGTTTAGAAAACAGAGCACACAGTTCTATGCAGCAGGTTTGGGAGGACTGATAAAACAAGTGGGGCAAGTGTTGGTGGTAATTATATTGAAAAATAAAAGGGCAGCATATGTGTAAAAATAGATGGTTTTCAAGTTATTACCATCTTTAGTTTTAAAAAAAAAACATCCATTTGTGACTTACTTATGGACTTACCCTCGTAAAAGGTGACTACTTAGGGGTGTTTCTTTTGAAGTTTGAGTACATCTGCCTGAGAGGCAGTGAACTAATAGTTTGCATACACATAGGCCAGAGCTGTAAAACGGATATGCAGGTAAAACTGGAACAGGACCAAATGCCAGACAGGATCAACAACCAGAGCTTTCTACCGGGGTTTACAGCTGGTGAATGCTAAGAAGAAGACAACTGCAATGGCAGTATCTGTTTTGGGACTACTTTAAAAAAAACTCATTATAGTCTTTACAAAAGAATCTGTTGAAAGCTGTCTTATTATTTTAAAATAATCCCAAAGGAATAGCTGTACATTTCATGTGTAACCATAACTATAACCATGACTATTTACAAAAAGAATGTAAGCAATGTAAAGGACCATTTCTGTGCAATTTAAGCATCGGGCACTGATGCTAGATGCATATATTATAGACCACTTGGCACTGGATGCGTAATATAGTTAACTTTATGTTTGCCATCTTTTACTTCCCAGACATTTCCTTTTACCCATTTTATGCTTAGTCAGCCTGAGAGCAGTTATAAAAACCTGTTTTGGTGCACATTGAGGAGTTGATATACTTGGGGCAATGGGGAATGCACAATCTCATCTACAAGGTAGAGAGAGACAAGAGAGGAGGTCCTGCTGCATTTGGGTGTTGTGTGGAATAGACATTCTAATCTACCACACAAAAAGGGAGAGGGGGGGGGGGGGAACAGGAAAATAGATGCTGATATATATCCTTTCACTCTGGGAAAACCCAACCTTAAGTTGCCTTTTTATGACATGTAGGGTAGGATTCACTCTTGCTATTCTTTGCTTCTCCTTCCGGCCCTGGCAAGACTCATGTCATGTAATCAAGTTTGGCTATAAATATAGCCTACTTTCAGATGTATTTTTATTTGTCTCTTTCAGCTGAGTCAGCTCAACCCACTGGTTCCTCCACTTGAATCAAGTATGGGAATTCCCCAAGTACACAGAAGTTTAGCCTCCGATCAAGCAGGATCATTCAGGTCTGCTGAAAGCACTGCTGGTGGTGCTTCAGGCTTGAGGGGATCTCTAGGAAATTCTCTACAGGTTTCACTGTTAATACTGCACATCCTATTCTTAACTCTTTGAGTCCCATTGAACGCGTCATACGTTCATAGATTCCTCCTACAAGCCCAATGAAGGCAAGATGCGCCGATTTTAAGTCTTTTTTGACTACCCCTTGGGCCTGTGCTGTTAAACCCCCTGGGACTCAAAGAGTTAATGTGCCTTGTCTAAAGCAGACACTGGCGTCTTAACTTTTAAATCTTATCTTTCATGTGGTATTTTCATGTTGTTAATGTTGCTTTTACATTTACTTGTTGCCCACCTCCATAAACTTTCCACGTAAAAGGTGTCAGCAACAACACTGTAAATTGGATATCTTTGGTATTGATTTGTGGTTCAACCCCCACAGTGTGTATGTCAGATGGGACCCAAAACACCTAAGCACATTCTGCAGACCTGCCCACTGAACTTACAACAATGAAAAGAAATCTGGCCTCAAGAGCAAAGTGTACACAGCAAGCTATGTGAACCACAAGGGACCTGGAACTAATTTGCAAATTAAAAGATGCAGCCTACCTGGCAAATTGATTCTGAGTGTACAAAACCAAATGCAAAGAAGAAGAAGATGTGTGGTGAAATGGTGTATCTGATTTAGTTTATGCTCTGAAAATTGTGAGTTTAGTTTCTGACTGTTCATCCTGCCCTCCTTTTACCTCCTAGTTTGTTTTTAAGTATTTAAGAGATTCCTGGGTTTTTTCACTGGAGCTGCAGATTTTTGTAAATGCAAATCAGATGAAAAAAAAAAAGAGTTCTTACAAGCTATATTTTGCTAACCCTGATATGCAGAAGTAAATAATGAGCAGTTAACTAATTAGGGAAACATAATTTGGAAGCTGCATAAATGTGGTTTTTATAGATGAATTATAAGAAGACACGGACAGATAACACATGTAATGGCAATGTCAAAGAAATTAACTCACAAGCAGAACAGATTTTTCTGTACATTAGTACATTAGAAGAGAAAGATTTACCATCTTTGGTCACACCATGAGAAGAAGAAAACTGAGGTACATTGTGAAGATGAGAGAGTTAAAGGGGAAAAGAATAATAGAGAGACCTAGAGAAAAGAGGCTGGAAAGTTTGACATCATGGTATGGAAGGTCCTTATGTCAGAAATGATTGAAAGTACATTAGACAGAAGGTTATGGATGGACATGACTATCACCACAGGGCATGGACTATCAGAAGATGCTGTGTTCTTATGTGACCAGCTTCTCTGTATGATGTAAAACCTAATGCAGTAAAATTAATTTTCTCACCAAAACATCAGCTGAATCATGCTCTTCTTAGTTTAAAAACATCTACAGTAAAAACCTTGTTAACATAAAATTCCAAGGAACAGACAAATGAAGAGTTTGTGTGAAAAACTAACTAGAGACTTCTTGTTCTTATAATCCGTGCCAGGCACTGGTTAGTCATGTCTATCCACAATGTTCTGTCTCCTGTAATTTCAATAAACTCTGACACAGATGATCCTCCATGTCATGATGTTAAACCGTCCAGTATTTTTTTTTTCTTGGCCTCCCTTTACCTCCAGCTTTCCCTCCAAATTGATATACTCCAGTTTTCTCCTTCTCTTGACGTGAGCAAAGAAGTAGATTGTCTCCTTCTGGCGTAGGCAGTAAGTTTTCTTCGTGAGTCAGTTTCTTTCAAGACATCTTCCTTACTTTTTTTTAAATCCGTTCAGGGTATTCTCATGATTCATCTATAAAATTGCATCTCTACCGCTTCGACATAATTGTTCACTAATCACCCAGCTGTCCGTGATTCACTTCCATATGTCAGGATAAGATTTATATAGCGCTTGAGAATTCTTTTTCTCATCTCAGATGGCTGAAAGATTGCATAAATTAGGGACTGATATGTCAGTTATGAAAAACACATCCCTGCTGGGACCAGCATTTTATTTGTGTTAACTGTGCATTCATGTTAAGTGATTTTATGTTAATGAGGTTTTACTTGAATACTTAATACTTAAATTACAAAATGGACCCTTGTCATGCTGCTGGCACATCAGAGATACATTGCCCAGGCTGTTGCAGACCAGTCAGCATTAAATGGGTGATACGGTCATCATCAGGCAAGCTGCCTTTACCTCCCAGGACATTACTTGATACCCAGTTTAGACATGGGTTCCGGCGCCCCATTTTGGGGGAAAAAGAATGGACCCACTGCCCCGCTAACAAGCATGTCGTAAAAGGCAATTAATTAGGGGTCTTTTCTTTGAAGTTGGATCTGCTTTGAAGTGCATCTGCTTAAGAGGCAAGGAACCAACAGTCTGCATAAAATACATCAGATCTGTAAAACAGATGTGTATGCAGTACTCGGGTTGTGGAACAAAACTGAAGTGGACAAACAACATGAACAACTTCCTGCCGACTTTTTACAGCCAGTGAACAGATAGAGAAGAAGAAGACTCAGTCAACTTGTGAGCCAGCATAATTTTTGGTGAAAATCTTGTTTCATTGCGGATTCAAGTGAAAGAAATAGTTTCTTTCTGCCTCTACTTCTTTCTGTGAGCGTCAGTCAGTACATATTAATTTGTTTATCACTTTTTCCAGACAAAAGGTAGCCTTAACACGACAACAGGGTCTTTCAAGTCCAACAGTTTGAACATCACTAGCAGCGTCACTTTGCCCAATTATCCTGGAGAAATTGTGGATGATGATGATGTGAGATATTGTTTTGGTGGTTTTTATGTTGTTATGTTAAACAGTGTTTTGCATTCGAATGTTTCTTGAATTCCTGAAAGTTTCATTCTTGTGGTAAGTAATAATTTCTTTTTCTTTCTTTCTTTTTTTCTGCTTCTTCTGCCTCCCCATTCTTCTGATATTTTTTCTGGGCGAAGTAGTTTTGTGCCTGTTTAGATTAGAGGTGTGATATTTGTGCCTTTTGGCCAGCTCTTAAAAAATAATTGTAATCACAGTAGGGACGTGGTTTTTGAGAAGTTTGCACATAATTTTATGAAGTGATAACAAAATAAATAATGCACAAAATAAATGAGGTAGTTCTATACATAAAGGAAAATGCAATGGCTGACTATTGTCAGAAGCAAAGGTTGGCCATGATTTAAAATAGTAACCGTGCCTATCCTCCATACTGAATGGAAGTAAATTTGTGTGTGTGTGTTTCTTACATATGCTGATGTAACTCTTTAGTAATTAACCTGATGAGAACAGCAAAATAAGCCAGGCAATTCGGGACATGTAATAATCATAAACTAATTTAGAAATAGACGAAGACAGGGTTTTTTGGACATGTTGTGAGAAGGAATGGTCTTAGAACTTGGTAAAGACTGGCAAGATTGATGGGAAAAAAAAAGAACAGTGGAGGGCAGAATAATAAACAACTTGGATGGCTTAACCATATGGATGGGGCAAGACAAGAAAACAAATCTGTTTGAGATTGTGTGACATGTCGAAACATGACACTGCATGTGCTTTGTCAGCATAATTTCATTTCTGACATAAATATTTTTCTTCTTCAGGATCATGACTGGCAAGGCAATCATCGCTTTGATTTTAGTGCACACGACATCGCAGCCTTGAACTATGAGGTAATATTGCAGAGATATTTTTATACTGAGCTTGTTTCTTTTAGAGGAGCTCATTTGTCTGGGCAGAGAGTAAAAGAAGTGTAGATGCAGTTTTGCTTGTAAATACATTACTCATACGTAACTGTGAGCAATAAAAGTAGATGCAGTTTTGCTTATAAATACATTACTCATACGTAACTGTTAGCAATAGAAGTAGATGCAGTTTTGCTTATAAATACATTACTCATGTGTAACTGTGAGCCATAAAAGTAGATACTATTTTGCTTGTAAATACAATACTCAGTGTAACAGTAGACCTTAAAGTGTAGATGCTATTTGGCTGAAAAATACATTACTCATGTGTAACTGTGAGCCATAAAAGTAGATGCTATTTTGCTTGTAAATACATTACTCATGTGTAACTGTGAGCCATAAAGGTAGATGCTTTTTTGCTTGTAAATACATTACTCATGTGTAACAGTAGACCTTAAAGTGTAGATGCTATTTGGCTGAAAAATACATTACTCATGTGTAACTGTGAGCCGTAAAAGTAGAAGCCGTTTTGCTTATAAATACATTACTCATGTGTAACAGTGGACCTTAACGTGTAGATGCTATTTTGCTTAAAAATACATTACTCATGTGTAACTGTGAGCCATAATAGTAGATGCAGTTTTGCGTATAAGTACTTTACTTATGGGTAACTGTGAGCCATAAGACAAGAGAAGAAGAATTGTGGCAGACAAGAGAAGTTGTGGCAGACAAGAAATGTTCTAAATTGTAGGAGTCAAAAATTCTACATTGTAGGAGTCAAGAAAAGTTCTTAGTAGACACACAAGAGAAGAAGAATTGTGGCAGACAAGAGAAGTTGTGGCAGACAAGAAATGTTATAAATTGTAGAAGTCAAAAATTCTACATTTGTAGGAGTCAAAAAAAGTTCTGAATAAACAGACAAGAGAAGAAGTTGTGGCAAACAAGAGAAGTTCTGAATTGTGGCTGGCAAGAAAAGTTCTAAATTGTACCAGATAAGAGAAGAAATTGGGATAGGCACAAAAAAGTTCTTAGTTGTGGCAGACAAGAAAAGTTCTAAATTGTGGCAGATAAGAGAAGAAATTGGGACAGACAAGACAAGTTCTAAGTTGTGGCAGGCAAGAAATTCTAAGTTAAAAAAAAAGATTTCTTAATGGTGTTTACTGCTTGAATTTTAGTTTGGCTTGCATTTAATTTATGTTAGCATAAGTGTCTGCATTTGGTCTGATATTGTTAAATTTGTGAAAATTTAATATAATAAATTGAGCATAATCCATTGTTAATGAAGGACCAGCAGTTCTCAATGAAAATGTTTCTCATTCTCCATCTCGGCAGGATTCAGATTCGGAAGGTGATATCAAGGCTAAAGTGGACACTGAAAGTGAAAGTGATGACTACAAGGAAGTAGTAAGCTCATTTATTGTTGTTTTTCTTCTTCTTCTTTGACTCCTCACCCTCATCTTCTTTTCTTCCTTTGCTGTTCTTGTCCTAAAGGAGCATATGCCTTCAGTCAACCCAGCAACAGATTTGTTGGGATTTGTAGCTACAGTTTTGCACGGTATGAGATAGTCTGCACTTTACCCTTGTGGACAGGCATCCCAAATTAATCAACATTTGCGCAGACATGCTCTCTACATGCAGTAAAGAGAGTCTGGCCAGTTTTGGTGGAATCATAGCTGTATTGATCCGTAGAGGCATCACAGCCTTCATAAAGCCCTTTTATTTTGATAACAACTGACAAGGAGAATGAAAAAAAAAAAAGATGTGACACTCAATCTCCTGTCAACACCCCTCCCTTCCCCTGTTGCCTCTTATGACATGCTTGTTAATGACTTTTTATTTTAATAACTTTTACTATAGGCCCGGGGAATATTTACATGATTCCACATTGGTGATATTCCATGTTGACACTGGCTTGGAGTCTGTTTATGATAAATATATTACATTTTGTTTAAAATATTTTACTTGGTTTGAGCCGCAGACTGTGCCAGAAGAACTAAGTTTTAAACATGCACAATGGCACAGTACATTTAAGTAGTTTTAAAACATCTTTTTTTTTTGGGGGGGGGGGAGTAAACTGAAATTTTCTTTTTTTTTTTTAAATTTAAAATGTGCATCCAGTATTTATTGTAATTCCTCACTACTTTCAATAAAATGGTTATGCAATGTTGAATTAAGAATCGACATCACTGCACTCGGGACACTCCCATAAGTTCTCAGTCCCCATCTTCAGCAGCAAGCAAAAAGTTCCAATTCCGATGGTACCAGTAACCGTCTGTTTGTATATCCGTCTCATTCTTCCTCTGAGTGTTGAGTGTCAGTCAGATCTCTTGATAACTCTTCGCAGCGCCATTCTCCTTAGACTGTAATGATCTATCTGCGCTTCCGCTCTGTTTAATCGCTCCTGAAGGGCCCTCACGATATAATGGTTATACTAACACACAAAAATTGTCAGTTAAAGAATAATTTAACTTTTAATTCTTTTAATTTATATAATCTGAAAATCACATCAGCCACTGAATTGTGGCTCTACTAAAGATGGTAAATCCTGCGCAGACTGATGTTAAATGAAGAAGTTCTGACATTTGTCAAGGCACAGGAGAAGCTGTTTCATGGATAGTATTAAAAAAATCAAAATCAAATGTTTTACTATTGTAAATGTAAATATTGTGGACACAAACAAAACATTGCAAAATTTATTGCCTGGCTTATTTTGCTGTATCTTGTCAGTTTAATTACTACATAGTTACGTCGGCATATCCAGAAACACTCACACAAAAATTGACTTTCATTCAATATGGAGGATACTATTTTTACCTGCGGTCAATTTTTGCTTATAACAATAGTTAGCCATTGCGTTTTCCTCTATGTTTAGACTGAAAGGATATAGTTTTTTAACCCAGCTGCTGAGTTGAGTGCAGGGCGTGACACTGTGAGCTGCATATTTTGTTTGGAATATACTTCGATTGTGGACAATGGGGTTTATGTTGTGAACTGTAGATTCAGAAAATGGTGATTGCCCTGTGATGGTGCCTTAGGTGATTAATTGCATGTGCAACTACTGAGCTGTTGTAACTGCCTCTTCCATCAATGATGAACTGCATATCTAATGTCTGTCTGTCTAAGGTAGCACCTCTGACAGCTGCCTTTTGCATTTAATACATGTGTATGTTATGGTATATGTGGAGACTGCAGTTTATCTCAATTTTTTCACAATGGACAGTGATGGTCATTCTGTGTCGTTTTCCTTGGCACATTTGCTATGAAGTTGAAACTGATTACCTAATTACACAGAAATTCTTTCCACTGCAATACGTGCATCATAATGTCTGGTTACACTATTTTTAAAAAGACTTATTAGGATAACACATTCTGAGAAGAAAAATGTAAACATAGTCTGATATCAGATATTGCTTTTGCAGTGCATAAACGTATAGAAGAATAAAAGTTGTCATGTACCTCATCATTTGGCCCTTCAGAAACACTTCTTTTAGTCTATACCGCGTGTTGTTGCTAATCATATAAGTCTACAGCCGTTTTTTTTTCATATACTGTTAGTCCATTCTGATACAGATGTCTTTTCATGCAAGACTATCCTACATCTTCTGCCTGATGTGCTAATTGCTTGGAAAGGGTTGTTTGGTCCTTTACTTTTATACTTAACAGACTTCCACTGCCTTGTAATCATATCTCTCATGTTTCTTTTATTTGCTATAGATTGTATACATTTTACTCATGTAAATCTGCCTAGGATTTTGGTTTGGACAAGAATTTGTCAGAGAAACTGATGGAGTTCGAGAGCTTAGAGCCTGGACTAAGGGGAGCGTTAGAAAAGGTACGTTTGTGTCAGTATCATCCTTAAACTTTTGCGCACTTATGTTCTTCACAAACCGAACACCTTTCTGTGTATTTATTAGTTACGGTATATATGATAGTCTTTTTTAGTTTCATTTGCTTTGTCCCATGAAGTTTTTACATTAACCCATATTATCTTTTTTAGTTGGTGCCATGGTATTATTGTTTTAACCGCTTTGTGTCTAGTTGTTAGTTTTCAGATATATCAGTTTGGGATGGAAGTAATCAAGGTACTTGTTTCAGAAAGAGTTGACAATTCTTTCTTTAACCATTTTTTAAAAATCAGTCTTTTTCTGTTAAGCTCTTCTGTGTTATATCAGAAATATATTGGCTTGTGGGTCACATATGATTTTACGAGCATTAGTCTGACTGTATATGATGGAGTAAAATGCAAGGTCAATTTCTTTTCTAAAGTAATGTGCAAACTGACCATAACGAGTGTGAAGGAAAACTACTCTGAAATTTTCCTTCATGAGGTTTAATTGTTTAAGTCTTGTTTCGAAGCAAATTCACTTTGGCCTTGGACAACTTGAGATTGTGAACAAGTACGTTAACTTCTTTCTGGGTAAAAATTTGTGGCCCAGATGCTGCACCAGGTCAGATGAATGACTCATCATAAGATGATAAAGACTGCGGAGCAGCTGGTATCAATTCTCTCTCAGAGGCAACTCTTTGGTGGAAATGTCTTTCACGGTTCATTAACCTGAAGTCCTCCACTGTGCGAAAAATGGTCAGAAAGAAGATTATGTATTTGGGTATGCTGTAGTCCAGTTCTTTTTCCCCTCCTGACTCAGATGGAACCATGCAGAAATAGCAGACATTTACATGATTGCTAGACTCTCTCCAAACCATAGAAACTGCAAATGGCATCGATAAATTTGTCCTTTTCATCCACTTTTATGCAGCATATATGTTTGTGGCTCTACCCTTGTCCTGGTCCCTGATCTTGCACCCGAAATAGCAGTCAAACACCTTTTTCAGTATTGCTGTGATGACTTTTTTCTGTCTTGCAAATGTCTTTACCCGGAAATATAACAAAAGTTATCTGCACTGCTAACACACTTTTGAGGCATCCCTACTGCTGGATTCAAGTCGCAGGGATGAAATTACTTGTTCCCACCCTAAGAGTTTGGTTTTTACCTACTTTGTGTTCATCGGCTGTAAACTCTAGTGAAAATTTCTGGTTTTTTGTCCACTTTAGGGCTTTAGTCTTGTTCTAGAACTTCAGTTTGTCTGCAGACTGTTGGTTCCTTGCCTGTCATGCAAATGCACTCATACTTTGAAGGAAACATCTCTAATTAGTCCCCTTGTATGATTTGCTTGATTGGGGAGCTTCAGGTCTGTTCTGTTCCCCCCAAAATGGGTCTCTGTAACCCACACAGAAAGCTTTTTACTAATTATTGCATCATTTTTGACTAACAATACCTTCCACTGAGGTATCTATGTTTGGATGATGCAGTTCACAGAAAATGTTGCATTATGCAGCTGACCGTACAGCGTTTTAAAATGGCTAACATTCGTACTATATACAGGCAGAGTAGTTTATAATGACCATCTCTGAATTTTCTAAACTGTACATGTTAGTGTCATTTTCATGTAAGGCAGCCAAAAATTTGTAAGATTGGTTCTTTTTATGTCACTGCCAGGATCCTGCTGTCTGGTGTAATAGTAACAATAATAATAATATTATTGAGTTATTTTATTTAAAAATTGACCTGACTCCCAGGTCACAGCAGTCTAAAATGGCTTCCAAGGAATGTTTTAGTTAGTAAAGATGACCAGTATGATACTGACCATATCACTTGTCAAGTTCCAGTTGGTTGACACAGAAATAATATCAGCACTATGTGCACAGTGAGAGCCACAATATCATAGTGGCAAGACGCTCAGACTCCATGTAAAAAAGTTCTAGGATTCAAATCTATAATGAGGTGAATTTAAAAAAATTACAAATTGAACTTTGTTTTTGGTTCTTCTTCTTGGCATTCACCAGCTGTCAACATTGAACTGTAACTTTGAGGGAAAAACATCTAATTAGTCACCTTTTTTAAATCTTTGAATGTTATCGTTAGGATGAAAGATTAGTGCCTCTCTCCCACCCCTCCCCCCATTCCCCTTCTAAATGTTTAGAGAGGCACCCAGAACAAGCCTATAAGTGCTCAGCAGGGTGGATGTTGTCCCCGCTGAAAGCAAGCTAAGATGCATGTCAGATTCATCTTCACTTTCACTTATCTCATTACTGGGAGCCACTGTGGTGTAGCGGGTAGACGCCTCATTACTGGGAGCTGCCGTGGTGTAGCGGCTGGATGCCTCATTACTGGGAGCTGCCGTGGTGTAGCGACTAGACACCTCATTACTGGGAGCCCCTGTCGTGTAGCGGCAAGACGCCTCATTATTAAGAACCGCCGTGGTGTAGTGGCTAAACGCCGTATTACTGGGAGCTGCCATGTTGTAGTGGCTAGACGCCGTATTACTGGGAGCCGCCATGTTGTAGTGGCTAGACGCCGTATTACTGGGAGCCGCCGTGTTGTAGTGGCTAGACGCCCCATTACTTGGAGCCGCCGTGGTGTAGCGTTAGATGCTCGCCTGCAGATTTAAAGTAATGGGTTCTGGTCCTGAAGGAGCTGGATTTTTTCCAAAAATGACCTTGGCTCCCAGGTTGGCCCAGCCTTAAATGGGTACCAGGTACAAGTCCTGCGAAGTAAAGGCGGCTGTCATGATCTTGACCGCATCACCCACAGAGTGCCGATTGGTCTATAAAATATAAAATATAGGTCTAACCCTGTGGAAAAGATTGCTTTACTTTACATCTCATTACTCTGCTTCTTGTAATTCTGCTAGTAACTTAGTAAAATTCATTACTAACATTATAGCTTTTAGATTTAACACTTTGTTACCTGTGTTTTATTATTTATAGTATGTTACTTTTTAATTAAAATAATAATCGCTTGCACTGACCTATTTAAATTGTAGATAAACGGAAGCGACAGTAGATTAGGCCAGGTAAGAGTTGCATTTTTCTGCTGAAACACAGGTATAATTTATCAGCATGTCTTTGTGGTAATGGGTTAGCTTTTTGTGCTTGTTCTTTGTTTGGTGGTTCCTTCTCTTTCTTTTGTTTTGTTTTGTTGTTGTTACTATTTCAACTGTATCTTTTATCATAAGTTGCAAAGTGAAGAATCAACTGATTAAGTTGCGAAGGTTGAAGAGGCGAAGTGAAGGATTACCTGGATGTAGATTTAAAATAAAAGGCTGCTTGAATGGATTAGCAAAGTGAAGGATTGCCTGAATAGAGTTGTGAAGTGAAAGGCTGCTTAAATGGTCTGAAAACCAGTGGCAGAAAGAATAAATAAAATAAAAGGAAGAAAAAGAAGAGATAGACTTTGCATCTGCAAGGGAACAAGGAATACACATTTTCATGCTATATGTCTCCAGGAAAGTGCCACTTTCTTATTATGAAATATTGGTGAATTGATTTTCTGCTTTTGGGATCCAGGAACCCATTTTGTGGGGACAATAATAAACCCACTGCCCCCAACAAGCATGTCATAAAAGTACATCTGCCTGAGAGATAAAGAGCTAACATTCTGCATATAGATAAGCCAGGCCTGTAAAGCGGATGTGCACTCAAAACTCTCACAAAGTTCTGGAACAAGACCAAAGTCCAAAAGTGGATGAACAACCAGAACTCTTTGTAGGAGTTTACAGCCGGTAAAGCTAAGAAGAAGACTCTTGTAAGTTTTAAACTAACCACATGTATGTTCTGTGTGCCTAATGTGCGACTGCCTATAAACACACTAGGATTACTCCTGTACATGCCAGGCTCATGTTTCCTATTTAGTAGTCAGTGGAACACATTTAAGGGGTCCATAATATAATTTACAGAGCCATGATGGTGTACCAGCTAGATGCCCAACAGTGGATCTGAAGATCCTGGGTTCAAATCCGAACAGAGCTTCACCTTGGGGGGGGGGGGGGGGAGCCACTGGTGTAGCAGCTAGAAGCTTTCCAGCAGATCTAAAGGTCTTTGGTTCAGATCTACATGCTGCCGGATTTGTTCAGATATGACCTCGGCTGTCACGTCGACCCAGCTTTAAATGGGTAACAGGTAAATTCCTGAGGAGTAAACACGGCCAGCATGATGACTACCATATCACCCAACTACGGCCAGTTGGTCTATAAAATATGAGTCTGGCCTCACATTCTCAATACTTTTAATATAATTTACAGAAAACTCCTCAGCTTTGGAATGCATTTTGTGTATGTGTGTGTGTAACTCTGACATTTTAAAATTATAAGTTGTTTAGTACGACTGTAAAGAAAAATATGGTGTCCTTTCCAAACTAAGAAGGGTTTACGTATATTATCTAATTCCGAACCGCACTGTCAGACAGTAAATTTTGTATGCAATATATTGTTTGTTTTTATTATTAAGTTCACAGTGCAGTAACATTGCTTACACTTTCTACATGTTGTTTCTCTGTGGGAGTTTAAGCTACTATATTATATTTTTATTTTATTTTACCATGTCTTAGTGCAGTCATTGTCTGTCCTCTTTTAATGTGCTTATTACTGTTACATGTTTTGCCTACATTAAAAGTAATTATTGAAATACTTTCAAATAATCTGCAGTCTGGTTAACCATATGTATCATACAGTAAATTGAAGTGTTGGTGGTGAGCTGGGGCACAGCTCGACCTAAAATGTTTTAGCTCAGAATTCTGTACCTACCTATCTAATGCATTTTCTTCTTTTTTCTTCTTCTCCTCCTCCTTCTTCTCCTCCTCCTCCCCCTTTTTCTCCTGCTCCTCTTCTTTTTTTTCTCCTCCTTCTTCTTCTCCTTTTTTCTCCTCATCCTCCTTCTCCTCCTTCTTCTCCTGTTACTCCTTCTTCTTCTTCTCCTCCTCCTCCTTTTTCTTCTCAAGTCCTGTTCTGCCTTTCGGCCTCAAACTTTGAAGATGTATTGGGTTGAGCCTTGGTATGTGCTGTATAGATGCTGGTAAATATTCCAACTATCCATAGCTTGCTTGGTCAACCTCCTTTATGTCTGAATGACAGGGTCCTCTGTGGCGCACTATCTGATGGAAGTCCTGACTTATGTCCCAAGCATTTAAATTTTATACCTGCCATATCCGTTTAACTCTAATTTTGGAGAGTTTTTTGGTTTGAAAACTTGACTTTTATGCTAACATTTATGGTTTATTTATTCTGTGTAAATTTAAAAACAAATTGTGCAGTTATTTATGTGTAGCATATTTTCCCATATTCATTTATCTCATTTCCACCCTGTGAACATCTAAACTGTAAATAGGCGTTGTCATGTTGTATGTTCTGGGATGGTCATTTACTAATGAAACAATATCTAAAAATGGTGGTTATAAAAATATCTATATCTATATACATACCTATATAGATAATGGTTTATTTTTCGTGAAATATTTACACTGGTTCCCAAGTTGACCGAGGTTAAAATACGTACCAGGCAGTGTCATGGGAAGTAAAGGCAGCTGGAATCATGTTGACTACATAACCCATCGAGTGCCAGTTGTGCTAAAAAAATATGAGTTCTACATCAAGTGCCCTGGCATGGAAGCATCCTTAAGTTCTTTATTTTTCATGAAATAATTACAGATGTACATTTTGCATGGGGGGGGGGGGGGGGGGGGGGGGGGGGGGGGGGGGGGGGGGGGGGGGGGGGGGGGGGGGGGGGGGGGGGGGGGTGAAATAATTTCATTCTGGTTAAATTTTGAAAAGTGACTTTTTTTGTATTGAAATAATTACATATCCTGTCACATTTTATATATTGGTGTTTTTTTTAGGTGAAATAATTTTTCTGGTTACATTTTATGTAGTGGTTCCTTTTTCATGAAATAATTACATATCTGGTTACATTTTGTGTGCTAGTTTATGTAGTGGTTCCTTTTTCATGACAGAATTACATATCTGGTTACATTTTGTATAATGGTTTATTTTTTGTTGAATATAATTTTTTTTTTTTTTTACATTCTGTGTTGTGGTTTATTTGTTCATGAAATAATTACATTCTGGTAATATTAAAAAATGAAACAGTGACATATCTATTGTGTATTGTTGACCGCATCACTCACCAAGTGCCGAATGATCTTGAAAAATAGGAATATTGTTCTGAAAAATATGAGTATTGATCGTGAAAAATATGAGTATTGATCTGAAAAATATGAGTATTGATCTGAAAAATATGAGTATTGATCTTGAAAAATATGAGTATTGATCTGAAAAATATGAGTATTGATCTGAAAAATGTGAGTATTGAACTGAAAAATGTGAGTATTGATCTTGAAAAAATCTGAGTATTGATCTTGAAAAATATGAGTATTGATCTTGAAAAATATGAGTATTGATCTAAAAAAATGTAAGTATTAATCTTGAAAAAATATGAGTATTGATCTTGAAAAAATATGAGTATTGATCTTGAAAAAATATGAGTATTGATCTTTAACAATATAAATCTAGCACCATATACCTAAAAGGGGCTCAAGAAAAAGAGGAAAGAGAAAGATTATGATTTATTAAGAAGATTGTCCATCATGGACAAAACTGAAAGGAAATGCATCAGCTTTCATTATGTTTTGTTTCCTGTCCTCTCCAGGATATTGATGGCACTCTGTCTTTGAAGTCAACAGCCAGAGATGATTCTCCAGGGGGCAAGAGTTCACCTTTAGACCTTGATGCTGAGCAAAAGAAAAAAGCGGACGTGGTGGCCGTAACAGATAAGTGAGTGTCCTGAAAGGGATTGGTAGCCCCACATGTAATACCAAATTTTGAAATGTGTTTCCCTTCTGCTGTAAACTTCAACTTATCGTATAGTCCTGTCATTAAAGTATGTGCATTGGGGAAAACAGACTCACTGCCTATCTAAAAGCATGTTGTAAGAGTTGACTAATTGGGAGTTTCCTTCAAAGTTGGGAGTGCCTCTGCCTGAGAGGCAAGGAACCAAAAGTCTGCATACAAATGAGGTCATTAAAATGGATGTGCGCATGCAGAATTCATGTTCTGGAACAGGACAACAGTCCATAAGTTGACGAACAGCCAGAACTTTCCACAAGAGTTTACAGCTGGTGAATGTGAAGAAGAAGAAGATCCCCCTAGTAGAGCATAGGCCCCTTAACCACCTCACACCAGATCATCCTATCCTTTGCTGTCACATGCAGCTCACCCCAGATCATCCCTGTCTTTTTAACTTCACTCTCCTGTTTTCTTCTCGGTGTGTTTTTTCATCTGCTTTTATTTCAGCATCGCAAATTTGAGCTGAAGCTCAAATGTTATAGGGAAGAATTAAAATTTGTTTAAAGTTAGGCACAGGTCAGCAATTAATAAAGAACAACCATATAGGTACTTGTAGTTGTGGTCAAGGTTTTAACACTACTGCAAATGGGTTGCCCCATGTTTGCTCTGTTCCCCATCATCGATGGAAGCAGCAGCCACAGACAAATCAGCAGTTGCACATGTGATCAATTTTAAACACATATAGCACCACTAATTCTGTGGCAGCAAGCCGTGTGCCATTTTCTGAATCTGCAGTTCACAACACCATGTTGGTCACAGTTGAAAAACATTTCAAATGAAATCTGCAGCTCAAGATGTTCATGCCATGCACTCAACTCAGTAGCTGAGGAACAAAACTATATCCTTTCAGTCTACAAATGGAGGAAAACACAACAGCCACCATCTGTCAGAAGTGAAAAATTTGCAGCAACTACAAACAGTGACTGCGTATTTTCCATTTTGACAAGAAGTTTGATGTCTACTTGTAGTACACTTGATAAGTAGCAGTATCTGCTGCAGGAAATGAGCATTGATGGGTATACCCCATCTGCTGTGATGTTTATTCTTCCTAACACAGTAGTCAGTAGTAAGTAATAATAGTATAGTCTTTAACCCCATTTCTTAATTTTCTGTTTATCATAATATCCTGCCTGTGTTGCTGTCATGTGCATATCACCGATCACAGCTAAGTGATATATCACGAAAATGTGACATTTTATTCTCACTACTTTTTTCCACATTTAGAAAGGTACCAGACCAGTTTCTGAAAGAAGAAGAGCTGCGTATTTCAGCAAACAATGAGAAGGCTCTTCGAGACCTAAAAGACAAACTGAACAGAGAACTTGAGGATGCAAAGCTTGAACTTCTAGAGGTGAGAGTATATGTAGCTGGTATCCAGAATCTATAAAGATTTCTTGTGTTTGGGCCTGCCTTATTTGTTCATATGTAGTTTCCTCTTCTCTTCAGTTTTTACAGATTTTTTCTTTCTGTGAATCCATCAAGGCCATAAGTGGTGAACAAAAGATAAACTGAAAAGAATCACTCATCAGTTCAGTGAAGGGATGACAGTCAAAATTATGCGGGACTGGACAACCTAATGGTTTTAAACTTAAGACACACACACAACAGACTTAATAATTGCATGCACACTGCTTTTTACTGCAGTGGTGGGCTTAGTCATAAAATGGTGGTGAACTTGAATTGTTTGCGCACATCTATTTATTGATCTGGCTTAACTTGTATCCAGACTGTTGATTCCTTGCTGCTCAGGCAGATGCGTTCCCATCCTGAAAGAAAAATCTCTAATTAATCTCCTTTTATCACATGCTTATTAAAGAGACATTGGGTTTGTTCCTTTTCTCCCTACGATGGGGCCCTGGAACCCACACGGGAAAAGGATAGAGGGAAGAAAACAAAGCTGAGGTACTGAGTTGCAGTTATCGTCTTATCACTTGTCGAAACCACAAGAAACAGGCAAATGCAGTTTTTGATGCTTATATCAACTGAAGGTTGGCGTCTGTGGCTTACGCGTTATGAATCTGCTTCGTAATTCAGAGGTGATGTATTTGATCCCAGCTATGGCTGATTTGGTAGCAGACCACATCGCATTGATTTTGACAGTCGTATCAAGAGCCGACCATTCAAAAAGCAGTGGCAAACTGTTGGACGTAAAACTGCATATTGAAATCACAAACTTTAATCTGAAAAAATGCTGCGAACTAGCCAACCTTATGAAACTAGCCAACCTTATTTAACTAGCCAGTCTTATGAACTAGCCAGCCTTATGAAACTCGCCAACCTTATGAAACTAGCCAGCCTTATGTAACTAGCCAGCCTTATGAAACTAGCCAGCCTTATGAAACTAGCCAGCCTTATAAAACTAGCCTGCCTTATGAAACTCGCCAGCCTTATGAAACTAGCCAGGTTTATGTAACTTGCCAGCCTTATGAAACTAGCCAGCCTTATGAAACTAGCCACCTTATGAAACTAGCCACCTTATGAAACTAGCCACCTTATGAAACTAGCCAGCCTTATGAAACTAGCCAACCCTAAGAAACTAGCCAACCTTATGAAACTAGCCAACCTTATGAAACTAGCCAACTTTATGAAACTAGCCAGGCTTATGAAACTAGCCAGCCTTATGAACTAGCCAGCCTTATGAAACTTGCCAACCTTATGAAACTAGCCAACGTTGTGAAACTAGCCAGCCTTATGAAACTAGCCAGCCTTATGAAACTAGCCAGGCTTATGTAACGTGCCAACCTTATGAAACTAGCCAGCCTTATGAAACTAGCCAGCCTTATGAAACTAGCCAATCTTATTAAACTAGCCAGCCTTATGAAACTAGCCAGCCTTTTGAAACTAGCCAGCCTTATGAAACTAGCCACCTTATGAAACTAGCCAGCCTTATGAAACTAGCCAACCTTATGAAACTAGCCAGCCTTATGAAACTAGCCAACCTTATGAAACTAGCCAGGCTTATAAAACTAGCCAGCCTTATGAATTAGCCAGCCTTATGAAACTAGCCAACCTTATGAAACTAGCCAGCCTTATGAAACTAGCCAACCTTATGAAATTAGCCAGCCTTATGAAATTAGCCAGCCTTATGAAGCTAGCCAACCTTATGAAACTAGCCAACTTTATGAAACTAGCCAACTTTATGAAACTAGCCAGCCTTATGAAACTAGCCAACCTTATGAAACTAGCCAGCCTCATGAAACTAGCCAGCCTTATGAAACTAGCCTTTTGTGGGGAAAATACTAAATGACAGAGACAGCTCAGACATTTGGGCAAGAAGTAAAAATGTCAGCAATGCCACCTTCGTCAAAATAATAGATAACTGAGAAACATAAAACAAATACAAACATTATTTTTAAATAAAAAATGGTTTGCTTCACAAAGAGACTAGCACAAGCACATAGAGACTTTAGTTTTTAATGCCATATCATACATGGCAAATGAGAAGAGGGATTTAGAACCTGAGCTAGACCAAAAGCAAGATGGAAAAAATTATTAAAAAGACTCAAGAGGATCAAGTGTTGCTTGTCGAGTTGGGAAGATAAGCAAGAAACAAAACATAATATCTCCCTCAACACCTGAAGTAAGAAAAGAAGAACTGAAGAAAAAGAGAGGATTGGAGAGACAACCCTCATGTGGGTTCCAGGGTCCCATTGTGAGGGGAAAAACAAGAAAAGACCAACTGCCTCCCTAACAAGCATGTCATAAGAGTCCACTAATTAGGGCATTCCTTCAAAGTCAGAGTGCGTCTGCTTGAGAGGTAATGGACCGACTGTTTGAATACAAAGAATCAGATCAGATATGTAGAATAGATGTGCACACAAAACTCAAGTTCTGGAACAAGACTAAAGTTCAGAAGGGGACGATAAGCAGAACTTTCCACCAGAATTTACAGCCCGTGAAAGTGAAGAAGAAAAGTAAGAAGAGACATAATGGCTACAGATCAGGCACCAGAAGAATAGAACATTATTTTCTGCGTTTGATTTTGTGTTTCTCTGTTTCCAGGATAAAGTCAGGAGACTGAAAAAGCTGCAAGACGATATAAAAAAGGAGACAGATGACGAAGAGAAGAGGCTGAGAACTCAAAAGAGAGAAGCTGTTAAGTAAGTGATTTTGTTACCTGTAGCAGATACTTCTTTTTCACCTTCTTTGTTCATTTGAGGACACTGAGTGGGTTGTGGCCGTTTACAACATGGCTGCGAAATTTGCGCCTTTGACCATCACATCCGACTTCAGCAAGCATATGTTGCCTGGGTAAGCCTTCCTGGTATTTAGCAGATACTAAACTAACATTTCTGCACATTAGAAGATTTTACACCAGTGTATTTATAAATAGATAACTAAATACACCAAAGTTTTTTATCAATAGAGTGCTGTATACATTAGAGTATTTATCAAAAGAATACTAAATACATCAGAGTATTTATCAGCAGAATACTAAAAAAACCAGAGTATTTATTAACACAGTACTAAATACACCAGAGTATTTATTAACACAGTATTAAAAAAACCAGAGTATTTATCAGCAGAATACTAAATACATCTGAGTATTTATTAACACAGTACTTAATACACCAGAGTATTTATCAACAGAGTACTAAATACATCAGAGTATTTATCAACACTGTACTAAATACATTGAGTATTTTTCAACAGAGTACTAAATCCACCAAAGTATTTATCTGTGGAGTACTAAATACTCTAGTGAAAACTGTATGACTGTCATCAGCTTGACTGTAGTCCGACCCTACTTACCTCATCACTTTATAAAATAAAAATAGGCCCAGCACCACATGCCAGATGCACAGGTAAAGGGTCCTTTATTATCACTACTTGCTAATGGACCTAAAGTGGAAGACCATCAGTCAGCGCTTCACAGGTCCTGGGTAGTTAGCCTCCTTTGGATATTTTCTCCAGGAAATGCCGGTTTATTAGGAAATAAACAGATAGACTGGCTGGTTCTACACAATTTGGTAGTGAACTGATGCATAACAACTAGATGTAAGTGTCCTTTGAAGGGGGTGGGGTGAGTGAACAGTGCAGAGGCACACATGGATCGTCACGGTCTGAGGAGAACGGCCCTGCGGGGAGTGACCAGGGGATCTGGCCGATGATCAACACTCAAGGGAAAAGTGAGGCGGATATACGATCAGACTGTTACTGGCACCATAGAAATACTCTATGCTTGCTGCTGAAGATGGTGATTAATCGCTCTGGAAGATGTCCTGAGTGCTGTGATGTTGATTCTTAATTAAACACTAAAGTGGAAGACCAACCCCACTGCATCGGTAACAACAGCATCAATTTTCTACACACTGGGGTCTCTGTGGCAAAGTGGTTAAGCCTCACGCTCTAACGGTCATAGAGGTAATTTTATGGCTGTCTCGTTCAGTTAAGGAAGGCAGTATTTGCAGACATCCCTGGAGACTGTCACAAGAGCTACAGAGTTTGTGCTTTGTTCAGTGCTCTCAGCAGGCTGCTAGTCATTCACTGGAGAGTGACTGAGCCATGTGTGATTAAAATCCAGTACAGAAGTCGATCCTGTAGATTTCTAAACATTATTGACTTTAATCACTCAGTCTGAATATTAACTGGTGACAGAATCTTCTTTGCTTTAAAATACACTATTTGTTCTGCAGGGATACATTGTGTTAAAAAACCTGAAAGGACTAAAAAGTTTATTTGTAGTATGGATTAGTCTACTTGTTTTCAGAAATAGTCTCATTTGAAATGCTAACCACAGAAATATACATGTATATTAGCAAGACATCAATTTACTTATTGCTAACTCAGACCTTGTCAGTCTTGTAATTTTTGCTTTATATTTTATACTTCTTTTTTAAGAAAATCCTTTTATATATATTTAAAGAAATAAGGTATGTCACCTTGCCCCCCCTCCTCTCCTCTACTACTTAACACTTTCTAATAGTGCTTTCACAGATTGAACATGCCAGTTTTTTTTTTGCTTTCCGATAGAAGCTTATTAGTTTTCATTTCCATTATATTTTTAAAAAAATCTTAGGCTAAACTAACTCTAGAAGATAGCATTTTATTATGATTTATCTTTAGATAATGAGGACACGAACAGAGTATTGCAGAATTTATTGCCTGCCATATGTGGCTTATATTAGTATGCTGGGCGTTGGTTTGCAATTTCTTGTATAGGCTATTCTGCTTTTTTTAAATAAATCATCACATGCCCTGGCTGGTAAGTGTAGTCTGTCATGTTTCACCATCTCACACGATCACCAGAATCACAGATCAGCTCAGTTTGTTTGGTTTCACCCCATCCATCTGTCCAGGCCATCCAGATATTTATCTCTTTTAGTTCCTCTTGCTCTTTTCCTATCAATGTTGCCAGTTGTTACTAAGTTCTTTAGTCCGTTCTTTCTCATAATATGTCCAAAAATATTGACTACGTCTGATTGTTCTAATAAGTTTATGACTTTAATCTGTCCTAATGAGGCCTGTTTTGTTAACGTACAGACTGCAAATTATATCGTTTGTGTCGTATTTTCTTAAACACAGTTGAAAAGTGTTGCTTCGGATTTAGTCTTTGTCTAAACTTTTAGCTGATTTTTAGCTGGGTCTTAACAGAAAACAAAAACTTTTTTGTGTATTGTATTACCACCTTGATCACATTGCATACTTTATTTTAAGTATGCTGCTGCCATAATTGATTGTGACAATTATTTAGAAAAGCTAGCATTAGAAGAGAAAATCATAGCTTTCATTTCCCAATGATAAATCTATGGTAAACATGCTCTGACCACAGGTGATGATAGTCCTTACTAATCGCTAATCATATAACTTGATTTATAGTGAAGTTACATGAACCAAAAGTGCTATTCCAGTCTGAATTGAAAATGGCATTTACAATGACATAACAGTTATCATCAAGTGCCTTGCTCACCACATATCTGGTTTGATTCAGCTGCCTATGGCTTGGCAGCAGACCACTTTGCATTGGTAAAAGCTATTGAGAAAAAAGTGGCAAACTACTCTTCTTCTTCTTCGACTAACTGAAAGTTCTGGTTGTTCATCCACTTCTGGACTCTAGTCCTGTTCCAGAAACTGCGGTTGGGTGCACATTGTTTACTGGTAGACTCATTTGCATGCAGACTGTTGGTCCCTTGCCTCTCAATCAGATTTACTCCAACTTCCAAGAAAGCTGCCAGTTAGCCAACTCTTACGACATGCTTTTGGGCAGGCAATGGGTCTTTTCTTGTTTTCCCCACAATGGAGCCCCGGAACCCACACGGGAGGGGAAACTACTGAGTGTAAAGGAAAGTGATAAATCTTAGACGGCAGAACGATTGCATGTCCTGTGAGTAAAGCTTGATGAAGCATGCCTATGCCATCTTCAAGGCCAAGACAGGAGACACTATATAACCAACTTCTCATGGGAACAATAAGTAGAGGTACCTTGGAGTGGCTGAGGCATTGAAGGACTGAGCACACATGGGAATGCCCAGGGTGCAGTGACGTCATTTGTGATAACATAACATACTAAATGTAAAATGACCCCTTAAAAGCAGAAACCAGCCAACAAATGCTGGTTGGGGTTGGCTTGTAGTGTCCTGTAAAGGATGTAAAGCTAACTTAACTTAACTCTTGTTACTTGTTAGTCAATTACAAGCAGAGCTAGAGTCAGTTCACCAGCAAGAGATGGACCATCTGACAAAGACCCAGCAACTAGACTTAGAAAAGCTTCAGCATGAACACAGGTCAGCCTGCTCTAAAGAGGAGGCTGTGCTACGGTAAATTAGTTGTATACTGGTTCATATTAGTTTTGTTTGTGCTGTATTGTGTCTTCTGTGATTTTGATGCTTTGCTTTACATTACAGTAGCAATTTTTTTATTTGTATAGAATGCCTTTCTGTTTTTTTTTTTTTTTTTACTTATATAATGAAATCTAGTGTAGTGATTCTTTGCTTATGTGCTTGGGTAGTATTTTTTCCATCTAGTTTTGTAGATGCTTCAGATTAAATCTTCTCAGAACTCTTTTAAAGATATTTTGTTCATCAGAACAGAGGATATTTTTGTGTGTGTGTGTCAACATTTATTTTAACTTTTTTTTATTGTAATTTAGCACGAATGCTTTTATTATTACAGGGAAATCCCATTAATATGAATTCTAAAGAATCGAAAAATCTATAGATTTTCTTAAAAGAATTTGTACTAACTTGGGACTAATATTGATACGTCCCTGCTGGGACCAAGATTTTGTTCTTGTTAACTGAGTGTTCTTTCTAAAGCAAATTCTTTTTTTCTTTTTTCTCAGCTCCTTTTTCTTCTTCATCTTTGATCCTTCTGTCAGAAAACATATCAGGAGGCCGGTAGCCTTGATAAAAGCTGTTGTGCAGCTCATATCTTCCTGTGTACCACATAGCTTTGCATTCAAATGACATTAAGGCAGGTTTGTGTAACAGAATGTTTGTGGGGAGGATTTCTACATACTATCTGTGCCTTTCGACCTGGTGCCTTTGACTTCAAATTGCTTTTCTTTTGGGATGTACGCATGTAACCAACCAAGGCCTGACAACCGAGCAGTGGTAGTTTTAGTTTCAAAATATTCTTCTAAGTGTGCTGCAGTCCCCAGCTGTCGGGCCCCATCTACTCGGAGGAATGCAAGGTAATTAAATTTTGATTGACACCCTTATGTTGGCTTGGCAGCGTTTCACCAGCCGCAAGTCTAAGAACATTTTTTTTCAAGTTGGGCAGTTTGTTTTGCTCCGCTGGCTAAGGTAATCATACCAGAGTTGTCTGTCCTTGCTTTCTTTGTCTAATTCACTGCCATGGAACACAAGGTTGGGTCAACAATGCAGTCCGGAAGAATTTGTGTTAACAAAGTTTTATTGAATTCTATCTTGTTACCTCTATCATTTATGCAGTATGAATTCCTTCCTTGTTGAAGGTTCCTGAGGCCTTGATCTTATGTGTGATCTTAGTTTTAAATAGCTCCTAGTTGTAAGAAGATAAATGCTTAAATAACTGATCTTCTTGTATGGCAGGGAGCAGATGGACAAGGCACTTCAAAAACTAAGGGACGAAGTTGGATCATTACAAATGGAGGAGCAGGAGAAGTTGGAGGAAGAAAAGAAGAAAGCACTAGAGAGACTGTACAAGCAGGTATGTTAAACATTCTTCCCTGAATTAGTATCATGTTAGTGTAAAAGAAGATTAATTGTTAAAGGATCCTACAAACTTAAAGGTTGATCCAAACCTCATAAAAATGTTTCTTCATCAACATCATGTTTTATGCAACATTGGGCTCACTGTCTTGTCCTCTATTCTGTTTTATCCTCTGCAGTCCCTTTGATATCCTGAATTTAATACCAACACATTTAGCCTCTTGGACATCCTCATTTCCTTAGTCCATTTGTTTCCTGTTGCAGTGCCTGTTTAATGATTCTCTGCCGTTCCTAATAATGTACCTAGTATATTGCCGTTTTCTTTGTTTTGTAACTATTGATACCATTGGAGCCATCTTGGTGAAACAGCTAGTCCATTGCTTGTGGATCTGAAGGTCGTGTGTTCGGGTCCTTATGGAGCCAGACCTTTTTTTTTTCAGAAGCGACCTTGGCTCCCAGGTCGACCCCGCCTTAAATGGGAACTAGGTAAAGTACTCAAAGTAAAGGGAGTCAGCCTAATGTTGACTACATCACCCACTGAGTGCCGATTAGTCTGTAAAATATAGGTCTAATCCTGTATGCCCAAATATGCCTGAAGGCTTGGACTAGTTTTAAAAAGAATTTTTTTTTTTTTGTTGTTTTTTTTTTGGCTTTGTTAAAAATTTTTTGTTTTTTAATTGATACTTGAGGTGATCCAGACACTTGTCTTATTTGTTCAGCTTTTTCAAATTCTCATCAAGGGTAAGCCCATTAAAATGTTTATAAGCCAACTGTTCCAGAATTGTCTGGGAATCTAGTGGGAGTATTTGCATTGGGACAGTCTTTAACTAGTGGAAGACAGTATAAAGCAGATATAGTGCGGCAGTAAGCCACCATCTTCCTGTCAGCACGACAGTCACTCGATATCACTGGGTGGTGTCTGATAAACGTGGACAGTCATTCTCTGTCATTTCATATGATCACAAATCTTAGAGCAGGTCAATGTTTTGGTTCTAAAAGGTCATTTAACTGAGCCTTTGTTGGATGGCTGGCCTAGTGGTTAGAATTTGAATCATCGAAAAGGTGATGTTTGAATCCTTTATAAGGTGGTGTTTGAATTCTCGATAAGGTGGTGTTTGAATCCTCGATAATGTGATTTTTGAATCCTCAATAAGGTGATGTTTGAATGCCCTATAAGGTGATGTTTTAATCCTCCCAAAAAAAGTTGTTTGAATCATCGAAAAGGTGGTGTTTGAATTGCCAAAAAGTGATGTTTGAATCCTCAAAAAGTTGATGTTTGAATCCTTGATAAGGCAGCATTTGAATCCTCGATAAGATGATGTTTGAATCTTCAAAAAAGTGATTTTTGAATCCTTGATAAGGTCATGTTTGAATCCTCCATAAGGCGATGTTTGAATCCTCGATAAGGTGATGTTTGAATCCTCGCTAAGGTGATGTTTGAATCCTTGATTTTCTCTCTTCTTCTTTAGGTTCACTGGCTGTAAACTGTGGCAGAATATTCCGGTTCTTCACTCCTAGACTTTGGTCTCGATCCAGAACTTTTTACCAGACTTTGTGTGCACATCCATTTTACAAATTTGGCTTATTTGTATGCAGGGTGTTGTTAATTCCTTCCCTCTTCGGCAGATGCATTCCGACTCAAAAGGAAACACCCCTAATTAGTCACTTTCTCTGACATACTTGTTACAGGGGCAGTGGGTCTATTTTTTTGTTATCCAGAATGGAACCTTGAAACCCACAAGGCAAGTTTTTTCCCCCATCTCTCTTGCGAATACCTTGGATTGCCAGAATAACTAAAAATGATTGCCTGGAATTGGCTAATAAAAGTAGAACATTACATACAACAATAAGAAGGAGACAAAGTTCTTTGGTCATGTGACAAAAAAATTAGCACTGGAATATATCTTGACGTCTGGAAAGATCACTGGTAGAAGAGGCAGAGGCAGACCACGAGAAATGATGGTGGATGGCTTAAGACAGTGGCATGAAGGAATACCATCAGTTGATATTGCATGTGTTTATGTTATGTATATTACAACTGTGTTATTCTGTATTCTCTATGAAAGGTGGAGATGTCAGTGGCTGCTGAAAAGGCAAAACTAGAAGATGAAAAACTCATACAACTGGAGAGCTTAAGCCACAAGCACAAGGCTGAGATAGATCGACTGAGGCAAGACATGGAGAGGAAACACAAGGAGAAGCTGGAGGCACTTAAGGCAGAGTTGTCAGAGTCTCATAGAGAGGTACTCATTTCTTAATATTTGCATTTGTAAAGGAATCATACTTTAACTCTTTAGGTACCAGAACATTTAGCTGGGCAATATCAAGGTAACGACAGTCTCAGTGTGAGCATAAACAACGTATGAGAGCATCAGTTTGACATATGAGGTAACAAAAATACTAATGGTTATTACAGTAGCTAGCCATGTTTGTATAGTGTTACTAGGTTAAACACTAGATACCATCTTTCATAGTTTGGTACTTATGTGCAGTATCTGATCCCACATGGAACGTTGGTTATGACTAAAAGAGTTAATTAATTCCCAGATTTGTTTTCAATTTTTTAACGAGCAGTTTCTGTACTTAAATATAAATACTGTCCTTGCCTGCGCAGGACTGCAGGTTACACACCTGGCTGCTGGAGATGTTACAGGTTGAATGGGGTATCTGGTATTTGCCCAATTGACTTGCCATCCAGATTGGGGGGGGGGGGGGGTGTCAACTGGGATTGAAAAGATGGTTGTTCAAAGAAATTAAGAAGAAGCAGTATACAAAATATTTCCTCATCAAACCATATCAGAGGGAAAAGTTGATTGCATGCACGCAAGAGGCAGACAACGTTGAAAAAATATTAACAGTTGATGAACCTGAGTCTGATAGAATGCACAACAACTGCAAGACACAGATGGTGTTAGAATTGCAGCCAACCTTCATTTTTTTGGTTTTTTAAAATGAAAAAGTTCTTGCATCAACTTGTATGTTAACATTTGTTTTCCCATGTGGGTTCCAGGGCCTCCATTTTAAGGGGGGGGGGGGGGGTGAGGGGAAAGAAGGGGGGGGGGGGGGGGGGAAAGAACAGATTCACTATCTACCAAAAAGCATGTTGTAAGTAAGTAAAGGACCTGAACAGATCCACTAACTTCCAAGAAGCATGTCGTAAGTAAGTAAAGGACCCTTTTATGTATTGGACATTCAGGTCTAGTGTATTTCATAAGCCAGTTGGCACTTGATGGGTAATGTCGTCAGCATCTTGCTGACCGCCTTTACTTCCTAGGACTTTACCTGGTACCTATTTAAGGCTAGGTCTACCTGGGAGCCAAAGCCATTTTAGAATAAAGTCCAGTTCCATCAGGACCTGAACACACGACTTTCAGATTTGCATCTAGCTGCTACACCACGGGGCTGCCAAGCATGTCATAACTAGTGGCTAATTAAAGGTCAGTTGGAGGTCTGCTGTGAGTGGACATGTTGTCCTGAAAGGCATAGATATCACAGTATAGTTATACACTTGTACACCACAACATACGCACTAGTCACTCTTTTAATGTTTTACATGGAAGAAGAAAATGAAGATATTATAAGTTTATTAACTGTGGTCTTGTTGTTGGTCAGTTATTTTATTATTGATTTCAGCAAATGGCAAAATTAAAGGAAGAGCTGAGTAAGCTGCAAGAAGAGGAGAAGGACAAAGTGGAGAAGGAGATGGAAGTGGCTAGAAAGAGGCAGAAAGCTGTTGATGACTTAGACAGAGGGGTAAGTGAGAGTTAGCTTTTATTGTCAGGTTTATTTGTTATAGCTCTGAAATGAATCCATTCTTGTTAATAATGTACAATAATTTCTATGGGGGCCATATTGAGTAGCAGCTAGATGCTGGCCTCCAGATCTAAAAGTTGTAAGTGCAAATCCACAAGCTTGTTAAGGAGCATTAGGTCTTTCCTCCCCCCCCCCCCCCCCCCCCCAGATAAATTGAGACCTAGGAAAACAGGAAGTGGATATACATGATGACACAGCACCACATGGTATGTTGTTAGTTGTGTATCCTTTACAAGACATTACAGAACCAACCCCAGCATTGGCTGTTGTGGTTTTTCTATGCAAATTGACATCCAGTAGTTTGCCATTGCTTTTGGGCGGTCGGCTTCTCGATACCACTGTTGAAACCAACGCAAGGCCTGCAGCTGCGATCGAACCCGGCACCCTGGCATATGAAGCGTGTGCGCAACGCAACGCCTTAGCCACAGACACCGACACCACATGGTATAGAGTTTAAGAATTTCAGTGGGAAGAAATGATGTGGTAAGAAAGTTGACATTTCAGCACAGAATTCCATTACCCAGTGTACAAGGTCTGACAATTAAGTAATGAGACGGCCAAGACAAATGTGCCATCTATGAAGCAAAGCATTGAATCCAAAGAGGCAATCTTCATCTATGATCTGGCAACTTTGCATCGCCGCCTGATAAGCAGACGACAAACAAGCTGCCATTTTATTGACCTAGTTAGATGTTCATCGTTACAAAATCAGCACGGAGCAAAAATCTAACATTAAATTCTGTTTAAAACTCAGAAAAAGTGCCATTGCAACAGTTCAATTGATTCCACAGGTTTCTGGGGATAATTGTTTATTTACTGCACAGATTTTCAGGTGGTATTCATGATTCAAAATTGGTGTAGAAATGATTACGAATACAACTAGACCTGACGCCCAATTTCTGTTTGCAATGATGAACTCTTCGCAAACATCACAGAACGGATACAAGAAGATCGTTGTTTTACTGTCAGGATGATGGCAGATGAATCTTGTGTTAATAGAGAGACCCTTTGCAAAATTTAAGTGCAAGATTTTGGCCAGAAAAAAATATGCTTGCAGGTTTGTACCGCATTCGTTGTATGATGACCAAAAACATCAGCGGGTTGGGTACCCACAAAACATCATCAAAACAGGAATTTTTTGCCCAAAAACAAGTGTGTGTTCTCAACCATCCACCCTATTCCCCAGATTTGTCTCCATATGATTATTTTTGATTTCCAAAATTAAAGTTACCATTGAAAGGACACTTCTTTGATGAAGTTGATGGCATCCAAAGGGCCGTAACATCGACTTTAAGGGCCATAGCAACATAAGAACTACAGAGGTCGTTCCAGTGTTTGTTAGATCTGCTACTCACTGTATCAATGCACAAGGGGCTTACTTTAAATAAAATATAGGTTATATTTTTAACTGTTGATTTTTAAAATTTTTATGGAATTAGTCTCACTACTTAATTGTTGGACCTTGTATGTAAAGCTGAATTGCTTTTGAAAAATGACCAGGAACCTCATAACTCCATTTCTTTGATTTAGCTGGATGAAGTTCTAATTGAACGCAGACAGGCACTCAAGCAAGAGCACCAAGAGCAACTAAATAAACTTCGCAAAGAGCACGAAGAGCAGTTACGAAAGTTACAAGAGGAATCCAAAGAAAAGGTCAGCATCATACTGTCTTCTGTGCCATCTCATTAACACTGGGTGAGGGGAGATACAACAGTATTTGTTGGCTGTTTGTGATTTTGCTAGGCATTTTTACATTCAGTAGTTTGCCATTGTCGACACTGTGGCTAAGTCGATGTGAACGCTTCGTAATGCCAGGATGCCGGATTCGATCCCAGCTGCGGGCCATGCGCCTTGTGCTGGTTTCGACAGTGGTATAAAGAAAGCCGACCGTCCAGAAAGCAATGGCAAATGTAAATTTGCCTAGAAAACCACACAACAGCCAGGGGCTATTAGCGTTGGTTGTAATAAATTTGCCATCGCTCTCTGAATGGTGGTCTCAAAGTGGTCTGCTGTCAAATTCTTCTTCTTCTTCATGTTCACCGGCTGTAAACTCCGGTGGAAAGTTCTGGTTGTTCATCCACTTCTAAACTTCAGCCCTGTTCCAGAACCTGAGTGTCGCGTGTGCATCCGTTTGACAGATGTGACTAATTTGTATGCAGACTGTTGGTTCCTTGCCTCTCAGGCAGATGTACTCTGACTTTGAAGGAAGCTCCCAATTAGTCGACTCTTATGACATGCTTTTGGGTAGGCAGTGGGTCTATTCTTGTTTTTCCTATAATAGGGCCCCGAACCCACACAGGGATGCTGTCAAATTGTTTGCGGCTGAATCGAACTGGGTACATCAGAATTAGAAAGTGGGTTCAATGTGTCTAAACCACAAGTACTGATTGATCCTATTACACAACAGTCTAAAGTTAACATTGTACTTGAGCCAAAAGAAGAAACAAAATCAAAATCTACAGCCAACAGTTCTGTCACCTTCCTCCTCAAACACTGACTACTTTTTTATGTAACCCGCCAACAGTGGTTTAGATCCAGTCACTACTTACCTAGAACATATGCTCATGCAAGTAAGAGAGAAGATAAATTGATGTGAAGGCGAAAGAGGAAAGAGAAATGAAACAAATGAACAAAGAATGAACATACTTTTATTTTTAAAGGGTCACAAACTGGACATGCAGGCCTGTCTTAGTTTCGACTTTTCGAAACACTCATCTTTCGCATTGCGGTTGTATTGGAGAGTGGGAGAGAGAGTAAATGACAGAAATAAAGCTAGTGGGATGGAGAGAAATAGTTCTAGGAGATAGATTTAAGGAGAGAAAGAGTTGGGCGGTGGGGGGATGGAGAGACTTAGGAAAGAAAAACAAGAGAAGGGAGAGATAGAGGGGGTTTAAAGAGAAGGGTTGAGGAAAGGAGAGAAAGAGATAATGTAGAAGAAGTAAGAGAGAGAGAAAGAGATTAAAGAAAACAAAAACTAGTTATATTTAAAAAACAGACACATGAAAAACAGATGGAAAACCAAATCATTTACACACACACATACATGTATGTATTCGTGTGTGTGTGTGTGTGCGTTTGTATGCGTGTGTGAGCGTGCATATGTGTGTGTGTACGTATGTATATATATATATATATGTATGTATGTATGTGTGTGTATATATATATATATGTATGTGTGTTTGTGTATATATATACGCACGCACGCACGCGCGCACACACACACACACAGAGAGAGAGAGAGACAGATATATATATATCTTGTAGATTCAAGCTGAAAATCAAAGACTGCTCAGAGAGCTGGAGTCCGAAAAGTCTGAGCTGCAGCGAAAATACAACAAGGATGTGGAGGAAATGAGGAAAAATTTTCAGATCAAGAAGGAGAGTTTGAAGGATCAACTGGATGATGAGGTTTGTTTAGATGTATTGTCACTAGGGGGTCTTCATGGCAAAGTGGTCAAGCCGCTTGCCTCGTCATGAGTTTATTTCACATTTGGTGCTATTTTGAGAGATCCCTGGCTATGGAATTTGTGCTTTGTGTGATGCTCTCCTTAGGCGGCAAACCTTCCGCAGAGAGAGACTGAGCCATTTGAGATTCTTTTGAAATTAAATTTAACACTGACTTTTGTAATATCACTTTATATATTACTGAGTACTCACTCTATCAGGGAAGTGAAGAATAGTAGCACATACCATGTCTTCCATGAGACACAACTAAGAAAGTTTGCCCATTGCAGGTGATTGTCCTCAAAGGCTGTGCATAGTATCTGCCAAAGATAGCTTTTCTCAGCCAGTCAAAAGTAGCAAGGCAGAACTTCTGTGAAACATCTTTCTAAATTCAAAACAATGTTTCCTCATTGTGTATTGAAATAATGGGGACGCAAACAATACATTGCGCAATATATTGTCTGTTGTATTTTGCGTATGTTGCCATATGCATACTACAGAATTTACATGAACCTCTTCACCACAAGTGGCCACAAAACCAACACTTCTGGTTAGTACCATTTCTCCAGACTTAAAATAAAGGTTACTTTCCCACACCTTCAGGCGTATTGGGCATATAGGGTTAAACCTGTATTTTGTAGACCAAGTGGCACTTGGTGGGTGATGAGGTCAACATCACATCGGCCATCTTTACTTCCCAGGACTTGTACCTAGAATCCATGTAAGGCAGAGTCAGCCTGGGAGTCAAGGTTTAAGAAGAAAAAAAGTCTGGCTCCTTATGGATTAGAACCAATGACGTTTGGATTAGGAGACAAGCTTTTAACAGCTACACCCAGCAACTCCCCACATGAACGTATAATGAAGCGCAGAAATGCATTTTGTTAACCGAAGGTTAATCTTATAATACTATTGTGAGATGTGTAGTTCCACAGTGGGCTATGTAATTTTTTATTTCATTCGAGGGGATACATCTCTTTGTGCTTCATTGTATGATTATACAAATATTAGCAACAAATTCATTAAAATGTCAGTTGATAAGAGTGGATTGTAAAATCATGATTGCCAGTAGAGGAGGAGGAGAAGGAGGAGGAGGCGGTGGCCGAGGAGAAGGAGGAGGAGGAGAAGAAGAAGGAGGAGGAGGAGAAGAAGAAGAAAAAGCAGGAGGAGGTTGAGTACAGCCACGACGACATGAGAGGATTAGAAGAAGAAGAAGAAGAAGATGAATAAGAAAAAGCAGGAGGAGGAGGTCGATGAGAATGACTTTGGTAGGGGGGGGGGGGGGGGGGGGGTCATAATTATAATGGTATAAGGAATAAGGAATGTTTCAATAACAGAACATTTTTTTGCATTATAATTTGAGTATAATAGTTGTTGTATAGTGATTTATGAGCAAGCTATACCAGCAAAATCATATGCTGTTCATTATCTAGTCTTCTTCATCTTAGCATTCAGTGGCCATAAACTCTGGTGGAAAGTTATGGCTGTTCATCCATTTCTGGGCTCCGACTTCGAAGAAAACTGCCCTGATTAGTCACCTTGTGTGATATGCTTGTTAGGGAGGCAGCAGGTCTGTTCTTTTGTTCCCCAGAGTGGGGCCCTGGAACCCACACAGGGACATTTCCTAGTAATTCTAGTATTATTTTTTTTATATGTGTAGCCAATCTGGCCCATCAGTTTAGGTTGTCTTAATTTAGAGATATTTCTGGAAAAGAAAATTTATGTTGTGGGGTGCTGGTTTTCCATTTCATGATGACATGACGTAATATGTGTGCAGATTTAGCACTTTATACTCAGACAGAAGTACCTACCGTAGAATTAGGTCTAAATTTTTAATAGTTTGTGAAATAGAGGTCTGTAACCAGTTTGCACTGAATGTGAAGTAGATATTGTGGCCAGATTATTGACATATTTAATGCCATATATTTTTTATTATATTTATCTTTAAATCTGCAGGAGGAGGAGATGAGAGAAAAGAAAGCAGAGATTGAAAGAAGATCGGCCTTTGTGGAGCAGTCACTTAAAGCTATAGAGGCTCAGGTAAAATCCTGACATTACAATTTTTTAACCCTAAGAAGTACAAAACCCGGGTGCTTCTGGTTTGTGTCAAGGACTTGTAAATGTCCCTTTCATGTCTTGCTATAGCGGCATGTTTACAAGGAGACTTTACTAACAGCATTGCTCCCATTTTTTTTTAAATATTGGGCAACTTTTTAGATGACTGGTAACAAGAGCAAAGTTGCTAAATATCGCGTTTAGGTCGAGCTTTCTTGTGGAAAATTGCTTTATTAACAGAAATTAGGAGATCAGAATTTCTCATTAGTTACAGTGGTAACTGGTGGCCAGGTCACAAGGTCAAGAACAGGTCACGCTAAACATTTTGTTTTAAAGCTCAGAGAGATGTAACCCAGTCTGTTCACTTACCCATTCATGTTTATCGACTACTTCCTTTATTTTGTATGCAGTAAATATTCTTTTTGGTCCATAAATGGAATTGTTCTGATTTTTTTTTGTTATTTGACCTTTGTAAACCCAAAATAAAATAAAATGCGGGACTTGGGCATATTTTTTTAGATCACTAGGGTAAAAGGGTTAAAAACCTATTTCCAAAACCTTGATGTCTAAGGAACATGTGGTGAAATGAGTAAAGGACCTTTTTGTACACTTTGAGGCTTTTAAGGGCACTTGCAAAATTGTGTTGTCAGTATAGTGCCAATGATTTTTACTTCCAGACCCAGAGACATCCTCGTACAGGTAAATATAAGTAAAAGTTCAGTAAAAACTCCTTAACATGAATTGCTATGAAATGAAAAATCAAGAGTTTATTTAAAAAAAAATAATGTTTGCTAACCAGGGGACTCAAATTAATACATCCCTGCTGGGACCAAAGTATGTTCATGTTAAACATGTTCTTCTTAAGCAAGTTTGTGTTAATAAGGTTTTACTGTAATTAGATGACAGCTGATTTCTTTAACTGACCTGGGCTTCTTAATCCAGTGTTCCTCAGGAATTTTTTTTAAACACGCGGCCCATTTAAAAAAAAACAAGGGAACTTGTTTCACAGCCCACCTGATAACTAATCAAATATAAAACAAAAAATAAACGTAGATAGCAGTTTATTTGTTAAATCTTATGTCACAAAATTATGGTTTTCAGTGAATGCTGCTGATTAGAGGTTGAACAATCTTGTATATGCAGCTGGAACGTTGTTTCTTATATAGAAGCGCTGTAATAACATCCATTTGATTTGTGTGTTTGCTTTTAACTAACTATTATGCAGTTGAATGGGGTTTCCAGGATTTGCATCTGTTTTGTTCTAATTTTGAGGTGTTCACCCTACAGGTTGCAATCATGGAAGAGAAAAACTACCTACCTGAACCTGTTACATAATTTTTGGCAGCCCACTTGTACTTTTCCTCTGCCAACTAGTGTGTCGTGACCCAGTGTTTGAAGAACACTGCCCTAGTTGAGCTTATTGACCTGGAAATGTCCTTTTGAAGTTAAGTGGCCAGCATGATGATGTTGACCACATCATCCATCAAATTTTGCTTGATCTGTAAGAATATACCCATCAAATTTTGCTTGATCTGTAAGAATATACCCATCAAATTTTGCTTGATCTGTAAGAATATACCCATCAAATTTTGCTTGATCTGTAAGAATATACTCATCACATTTTAATTGATGTGGAAAAAATATACTGATCAAATTGGGCTTTATCTATAAAAGTATATCACCATACGACATGTCAGTGGCCTAGAAAAGGTCTTTAAATTTTTTTTTTTAGATTAAAAAAAAATATAGGTAAAATCAAATTATGTAAATTTCTCACTTTTAATTTACAGGAAAAGAAACTTGAAGAGAGAAGGAAGAAGTTGGCTGCTGACAAGGAAAAACTGGAGCAAGACAGTGATGTAAGTCTAGCGAGTGACCGATTTTTGAACATGAATATGCCCAAAATGCTATGTGGGTTACTGCGCCCCATTTAGTTGGAGGGGATAGATCCACCGTCCTTTAACAAGACAGTGATATAAGTCTAGTAGATAACTGAATGTAAAATATGAATTTATCCAGTATCCTGTGTGGGGTTGGGAAAAGGGAGGGGGGGGGGGGGGGAAGAGAATAGACCCACTGCTCCTTAAAAAAAAACTTGTGGTAAAAGGCACCTAATTAAGGTTTTGCTGAAATAGGTTATATTGAGGCCAATGTCGCAGACATCACAGCTGCCTGTAGATGACAGCAGTACTTTTTCACCCTGAGAGGCCACAAAACCAACACTTCTGGTTAGGACCATTTCCCCATAAAAGCTGCTTTCCGGACTTGCTATAGGAACATGCTTACGAGATGTCAAGTGAATAGAATTTACTGCATTTGCATCATATATGCCGATCGCCCCATAAATGTTTTTTTTTTAAAGCAGAAGAAGAAAGTGCATGAATAGATTTTAAAAAAAAATGTTGAATTCTGAATTAAGAATAAACATCACAGCACTCGGGACACCCCCGTAAGCGCTCCATCCCTATCTTCAGCAGCAAACGAAAAGTTAAAAAAAACATATCATAAGCCACTGGTACACAAGAAAAAAAAAACCCAAAGTATACATTTTGAAAACATGGATATTTTCTGAGGCAACATACTGAAGTGAGTTATAAACCAGTGCATGGTCATTAAAAGAAAATAAATTAGGGCTTTTGAGTTTAAATGTTACAGAAACTTTCTTGAAATATCATGGATCAAAAAGGACAATTTACCACAAGTTGCTACACAAGTTTACATGTTTAATTCAAGTTCTGAACATTGAGAGTCCAGAATCCATAACACATACTAAGATTGTGCCTTTTTTGGGTTACTCAAAAGCGAAAACCAAGTCCCCAGGTCAGTTGCAAGAAAAACTTCAATCACCTGTGACAGTCTCTTGCCAGTAGGTTTATGCAGACAGCAGAAATTGATTTTGGAAGAAGTAGGACCCCATGCTATTTTTTTTAAAAACCATATCATATGCTGATGGACTACAGGTTTAAGACATGGAACACAGGTCAAAAACATGGAACACAAGTTAAAAAACATGGAACACAAGTTAAAAAACATGAAACACAAGTTAAAAACGTGGAACACAAGTTAAAAAATATGGAACACAAGTTAAAGACATGGAACACAAGTTAAAGACATGGAACACAAGTTAAAGACATGGAACACAAGTTAAAGACATGGAACACAAGGTATAGACATGGAACACAAGTTAAATGAATTCAGAAACAAATTTATGAGAAAACTGAACATTAAAAGGGATGAATTGAAGAAAGAGAAGAAATCAGATTTGTTTTAAATTTGTGGACAACTGCCAGTATCAACAGTTATGATTAAGAAAATGATGAATTATTGGTCACATTCTGAAAAGAAATGGACAAAGAATCACAAAGCAGCTACTGAAATTAAAAAATAATAAGCAAAGACATCCAAGAGAAATTAATTGATGAATTGATGAAAAAGGCCAGAGGTATTAGACTGAATTCCATATAAGATATCGCAAAGTTTGCACAGAATCCGATAGAATGGAGGAATCAGCTTTGAGCTACTATGACATGTAAACATAAAAGCTGATGATGATGAGGATGTATGTTCACAATACAGCTGATTATTTTATTGTGCCATTGTCTGGTTAACGAAATCATGAAACCAGACGAATGCTAGGAATAAGGCCGTCTTACAAGTCATCAAAGAACAACAAATTAAATGGTCTGGACACCTAACAAGAATGCCCTGGTACTATCCACCACAGCGAGCCACACTAAAATGTTACAACGGGTATAGAGCGATTGGAAGACCTCGGAATAGAGTGATTACATTAAGAACAGCCTTACAAAAATGAACATCAGTCTTAATAATGCTCTTGACAGAGCTCATCAACGAATGTTACGTCTCCACCCGACACTTCGATGAGGTACAAGGTGGAAGAGAAGAAGAAGAAAAATTGTCTGGTTTTCATTTTTTAGCATTTGTTAACTTTTATTCACTCAAATTTTTTATTCAGGAAGTGCTGGCTTCAAAGGTGTCATCCCTGAATGTTGCCGAATTACAGAGAATGCAAGAAGAAAAGAAGCAGTTACTACAAGAACTGAGAGAGGAACAAAGTCAGCTTGAAAAGGTCAGACAGGAACGGAAAGCTCTCGAAGGAGATGTAATAAGGCTCAAGATGGCAAGAGAGCAGCACAGTAAAAAATTATCGTAAGGAATATTTCACTTTTACATCTTTCAGAACATTTCATTTATGATTTATTACCAAGTTTCTAGGCATTAAAGGCGGTGTCTGTAGCTTGGGCATTGGGTTATTCCAGATACCTGGTTTGATTTTTAGCTGCGGACGATTTGGCAACAGACTGCTTTGCATCAATTTTGGCAGTGGTAAAGAGAGCCGACTGTGCAGATAACAGTGGCAAACTACTGTAACAAAATTGCCTAGTAAAAGCACAAAATGACAACTGCTGGGGTTGGTTCAGCAAAAGGATAAACAACTAACTTTCCCCCCCACTCCTTTGGCATATTGGGCAGGATGGTATACCTGTATTTAAAATGAATTTGTTAGGTATGTTAAACATGAAACAGTATTGCATGAAAAAAATCACAAGTTTTATGAAATGTCACGGGACAGCTATGAATAGGTAAACAGAGGCAAAGGCCTAAAGAGGGAATGATCCTGAGTGGCAGAAACAGGACATCATTTACCAAACAACCAGGCTGTGTGTCTAATGGATAGAAACACCAGAAAAAATGCAAGAGTACATTGAGCTAATTATCACTCTGGCCAGGTATTGCAGGGAATGGAGCCAAACAGCTGCTGATGCTGAAATAAGGGCTCTCATTCAATGATTTGGGGGTTAAGGTCTGGAGGAGATATACAGGAGGTGAATGGGAAGACAGTAAAAGAAGAAAGTCGGGCATACAGTTCAGCTACTTCTAATATGATCATGGATATAGCAGCCGTCACAGGGGCTAACTAGACAACTAGAATAGGTGGACAGCATACAAAAGTCCCTGTCAAGAAACTATTTTGCTTTTACACACCAAGATATGCTGGAGTGAAAGGAAATGAAAGAGCCAACAGTACTTGGTCGAGGAAGAAGTATGGACAGGGCAGACATACTGAATGCACTGAATTCCAGAGATGTTGAGACAAAGGAGTCGGAGATGATGAACCACCTGTTGGAGATGGGTATTAAACAAGGAAAAGCTTATAGAAACCTATTGCAAAGCAAAGAAGGAAGATAGGCCAGTCAACTCCTACTGGGTACGGTTCACATGAGACACTGAGACGACTGTTGCATCTGAGGACAGAGCACTAATGGGCCATAATAATGTGCTAGGATGTCACTACAGGCAAATAGGAAGTGATTAAGACCAATCAGCATCTAAAATAGCAATGATCAATGAAGTAATGATCAACAAAGTAATGATTAATGAAGTAATGATCAACGAAATAATGATCAATGAAGTAATGATCAACAAAGTAATGATCAATGAAGTAATGATCAATAATTGTAAGTACAAAGATGACTGATCAGTTGCCGTTTGAGCCTGGAATGTTCTTAAGCATGCAAACAAATGGAAATGACAGCAGAGGTGGGATTTGCCACACGGTTCTGTCTAGACTGTCTCTGTGTCTCTGTGCCTGTGAAACCTCAACTGGCTGGCATGTTGATGAACCATGCTTGATGACTGTACACCATTCAGATCAACCTGATTATGTCAGTATAGGATTACATTTACTACGGTATGTTAGTATGCTCTAGGAAGCTGCTGAACATCAAGAAAAGATCTTTGAAATTGTCCTTTCAGAGCTGGTCTAGCTAACATCTACAGTCTTTCAGTCAGTCAGGAGCATGTCCTTTGCAGAAGCTTGCTCCCATAACAACCCTCCGGAAAACTTCTCGATCACAAACAAGATGTCCCGCGTCCGATAAACCCATCTGGAGATCATCCGCCACATACTGCACCCATCTTCTCTTTGGCCTTCCTCTTCCTCTCTTCCCAGGCATATACTCCTTCATTATTGTTCTGTTCAAACTTTTGTGACGTTTCAAGTTACATCTACACAGTTCTGAAATAATCCTAACCCCATTGGTTAAATTATGTAATCAGATTAACAGCTCACACTAATAATACTGTTTTTAATTTTTTTTAAATAATTATTTTGTTATTACTTGTTTTTTTTTAAATCAGCGAGATGAGAGAAAGAGTGGAGAAGAAGATCACAGAATTTGAAGGACTGCAGCAACGGTTTATTCAGGAAGTTGAGAAGCAAAGCTCTGAAGCTTTAAGAGCAGATCCCTCTAGAGTAAATGCATCTGCAGCACCATCTTCTACTATGCTTACTTTAGGTGATCTTCAGATCAATGCCTTCTCCAGTCCTACTCACCTACCGGGATTTGCAAGTGATGATGATGATGGTGGAGACAATTATTTGGCAGGTATGTTGTGTGAAGGGGTAGTAATGAAAGCTAGTTAGTTAGTTGAGTATCCTTTACAGGACATTGCAGAACCAAACCCAGCATTTTTTGGCTGCTGTGGTTTTTCTAGGCAAACTTACGTCCAGTAGTTTGCCATTGCTTTCTGATCGGTCAGCTTCTCGATACCACTGTCAAAACTAAAGCAAGGCCTGCAGCTGGGATTGAAACCTGACACACCGGCATTACGAAGCACATTTGCATCGCTAAGCAATAATGAAAGTAAGTGGATGAAGTCGACAAATACATATTGGTCTACTTTTGAAACTAACAGTCATGAATGATAGAATGATGGAATGATAGTTACGACAAGAAAGCCGTCCAGCATGTGCCTTTAAAAAAAAAAGTTACCTTGTTGTTTTGGGGTTTCCCTTTCTTCCTCATTCACCCTCAGAAGAACAGTTTGGACATTGTGTTGTGCAGCTAGGCTGTGATATCGACACCTTTCGTCCCCACACATTTAACTTCAGTATTCAATCTTTTTTTTTCTACTTAAGTGTGTAGAGTCAAAATTTTGCATTCGTCTCGTTTATTAATCAGAGAAATTATTATGAATGAAAGCTGACTATTCAGCTGGTCACGCGCAAGCCAGATTCAGTCCATGTGGGCCTAGCAAGTGGACTGCGGATCATTGCAAATTGTATTATTGATCTTTCTACGCTGGGGCTATTTAAGTTGTGGCGTGCGAACTAAATTCAGCCCACAGTTACCTAGCAAGTGGACTGCGGATCATTGCAAATTGTATTATTATTGATCTTTCTACGCTGGGGCTATTTAAGTTGTGGCGTGCGAACCAAATTCAGCCCACAGTTACCTAGCAAGTGGACTGTGGATCATTGCAAATTGTATTGTATTATTGATCTTTCTACGCTGGGGCTCGGGCCACTGACCCGTGATGATCCCAGTTTTGAAACTGTTGGCCCCTGAGTAAACCTTATTGAATAGTCCTGGCTTAAATATACCTTGAAAGGCACAAAAAAATTTAGTTGTAAAAAATGTGCTAACAATAAAAAAAAACGAAGAAATATATTTTCCCTTGGCCCTGGGGTACCGAATTGAATGCTGAATTTTCTTCGCTGTGGTTAGAAATAAGTTTTGTGTGTGTTTGCGCATATTAGGAAGAAGGGAACAAATGTGTTATATAAATTGATATTATAATAAAGCTTGTTTTAAAAATATTTATTAACTAATAGGTATTTATGTATGTTTGCAAAAGGTAACAAGGCTGCATCAAAGACTTTGCTTGGGGTAAGTTTGTTTATGGAGTAAGCGAACACCTCATCGAAGTTTGCAAAAGTTTATACAGGGATTGTAGAAGTGTAGTTAGAATAAATCAGGGAACATCTCATCCTTTCACAGTGACATCTGGAGTAAGACAGGGGTGTGTCTTATCACCACTGCTGTTTATCACCTACATCGACAGTATATGCAAGAATGCCAAGCCCATGAATGAAGATCTTAGTAAGATCAACGAATTACTCTTTGCAGATGACCAGGCCTTGATAGCAGATGCAGCCGTGAAATTGCAACAACATCTAACATCCATGAATGAAGAATGTAAAACAAATAATATGAGAATCAACACTGAAAAGACAGAAGTAATGTCAATAGGAAAAAAGAAGACAGATCTTATCATAGCAATAGAATACAAAGGCATTAAACAGGCATCTGAGTTTAAATATCTGGGAACTACATTTACCGAAGATGGGAAATTGGATAAAGAAATTGACATTAGATGCAGTAAAGCAAACCAAGTATTGGGACAGCTAGCCTCCCTCTTACAGCATAAGACAATCCCAATCAGCACAAAGAGACATCTTATTCAAAGCATATTTATTCCAACTCTGTGCTACCAGTGCCAGACATGGTCACTCACAACAAACCATAAAATAAAATTAGTAACCACGGAAATGAGATGTCTGAGAAGGGCTGTAGGAGTGACCATAAGAGATAAGATCAGGAATGAGATCATAAGAGAACAAGTCGGCACAGAACCAATTCTGGATTACACACTAAGACAGCAAGTGAAATGGTTTGCCCACTTAGAGAGAATGCCTTGTGACACCATACCATACAAAGCATACATGGAAAGAGAAGAAGGACGTAGAGCACTGGGTAGACCAAGAACAAGATGGAAGGATAACATCAGAGAAACTCTACAACAGCACGATGTGCCTATGGTCGAGGCAGCCAGAAAAGCTAGAAACAGAACCTTATATCTCCCTCGACACCCACAGCGGTAAAAGAGGAAGTGAAGAAGAAGAAGAAGAAGAAGAAGAAGTTTGTTTATAGGAAAATGTCTTTCATTGTTCTTATGCTCTTATGTCATTCATTGGTCAAACTTTATCTGCCTGCCTGTAGCCAAGTTGAAGCCAAATAATTTCATAAAGTCATCGTCGCAGTTTCTTCTTAATTTAAACAGTCTCGAGGTGATATAGACGAAGGATACAGTATTGAATGTTTGGATGTTTACAAAATAAGAAAACTGATAGTATACTCCCACCTGATAATGAGGGAGTGGATCAGACATTCAACCCTCTGGGACAAGGTCAAACAACTTGGAGGACTTGTCTACACTATGCAAATTCAAAAATTTCTTTGGCAGTTAGAAGTTTGAAGTAGCAGACTGAATAAACTACTCTCTCGGTAAAATTTCTAAATGAGATAAGCTACCAACAAAACAGGGAAGAGTAATTTTAGCATAGTTAGTTAGTTAGTTAGTTAATTGATCAGTCGTCCTAGCTGCACACCGGACAAGTCCATTAGCACTGTGATCCCATCTTCAGTATCTCCATCAGTGTGCAGCGACTAACGACAGCAGTTCTGTGTTGGTTTACTATTATTCTTTGGCTACCTGTATAGTGTTCATGTCTGGCAACACCTCTTTAAATGAAGCTCTTGTAGTCTTGTCAAGGTTGCTGATTCACCCTCCTGTCCTGAATCATCTACTCATCCTGCCTCCTTGAGAGCATGGAAAACGTCAGCTTGGCCCATTGTTTTTCTTGTGCCTAATTGATTCCTGTCAGGTGAGATTTCATCAGAGACTCCAACCTTTGTCTTTGAGCCCATCCTGTCTTTGTTTTCGTGAGCATGTTCATAGAATCAGTGAGAAAGCATGGACAGAAAGAATAAGTGTCTATAGCCAGTCATTGCCTTTGTTACTTCATCACTTCCACAATAAGACTATTTGTAGTTCTTCTTTTGCTCAGTTAAAGTATGACCCACTGTCATTTGTAATTCAGTTACCCAATCCAAATGTGCAAGTGGCGGATCCGTCAGTCTTACATTTTGTTTACATGATGCTGCAAAGTTGATTGTGCCCTGTTTTAAAGCGTAGAATAATGACATTTTCTGGTTTGTCCATAATATGGTAATTGTCCTATGCTGGTTTTGGTGGCTTTCTGATTGTATTTGTAGTCAAGGCAAAAGCACCAGCATTTTCCTTCAAGTAGTTTAAGCATGTGTGTTTCTAGCTTACACATGTTTGGAACCTCGCAGATGCTACAGAATTCATGTATTGTGTGAGATCAATAGTAAAAAAATGTGAGCATTTGTTCCCCAATGTTGGTTCTGTGACCCATTGGGGGGGGGGGGGGGAATCTACTGTCCCCTAACAAGCTTGCCCTTAAAGTCGACCAGTTAGAGATTTTTCCTTCAGTGTCTGAATGCATTTACCTGAGCAGCGAGGAACCAACAGTCTGCATACAAATAAGCCAGATCTGTAAAATGGAGTGCACACAGAACTCGAGTTCTAAAACAATGATAAAGTCCAGAAGTAGATAAGCAATGAGAACTCTTTGCCAGAGTTTACAGGCGCTGAACGCCAGGAAGAAAAAAATAAAGGTAAAGAAGCATTTATGGATCAAATCTTTATGCAATTAACGTTATCCTTTACAAACCAAAAATGTGTCTGGTTACATAAATCAGTGTAGGTTAGGTATTCTCAATACCCATGTTTAGCGATCTAAACTCCAGTTGCATATAAGCATAGTTCTTTATAGTAATGTCCGAGAAAGGATAGTAGTATGCGTGTATTAAAGCCTTCAGTGGCTAGTAAATGGGGAAAAAGAGGACAATTTGTTTTTGCCTTCAGAAAAGAGTACGGTAATATTGGCTGCATTGGATCGTCAGCATTTTTCTGTTTCTCATTATGTAAAGTCCTAACATCCTATTTTGTATAGGTGCTGTCTTTCCATTTGATCTGTTGCCAGATTCTTGCAGGTCAGCCTGCCAGTTTCCCTCTTTGAAATAGTTTTAAACAGGCTGGGTGGCTTAGAAGTTAGTGAGCATGTTTCACAGTCCTTGACAACTGCCCTTTCAGTGAGAACACAGAAGAAGAAGAACTGAACCCTCGTGACTTTTAAGAGTTAAGAAACGTATGCTCTTATATAATGTAATGTATTACAATGGTACCTGTGTTGCACAGCCAACTGTGTCCTGGCAAGATGTCCTAGCAGCTGATGATGATTGGCTGGAACCTAGCATCCCTGGTACAGAAAGAAGGTTTGTATGCAAATGTCTGTATTTGTCTGTTAGATTTGAATACACTTGTTTTGTTTCTTATTCTTGTCCAGTTTGGGGGTGCTAGAATAGACCCACTGCCCCATAACTAGCATGTTGTAAAAGGCGACTAATTAGGGATCTTTTTCTTCAAAGCCGGAGTGCATCTGGCTGAGAGGCGAGAAACCAGTTGTCTGAAACATGTACATTGATGAATGAGATAGGAAAGGTTCCTTCAGACAGATTTTGAGCAGACACCATAGGACATTACATTTTTGAGTGTAAAACAGTTGCGCACACAAAACTCAAATGCTGGAACAAGACCAAAGTCCAGAAATGGACGAACAAATAGAACTTTCTGCCAAAGTTTCATGCTGATGAATACACATAAGAAGAAGAAGAAGAAGAAAAAGAAGAAGAAGAAGAAGAAGCAGCAGCAGCAGCAGCAGAAGAAGAAGAAGAAAAAGAAGAATTGACCTCTTGTCACAGAAAAACTGTGTTAAAGCAACACAAAAAATATTTACTGACAACCTTATCTAAGGGACCACATAAAGTTGAGTCACATAGTTAGGCACTATTTTTGAAATGCATGATAAATGAAGACTGCCAGAATTGCACCAAGATGACTTTGGCATAGTGCCAACAGTATGTTCTGGGAAGTAAAGAAGAACAAGAGATGGAGTCGGATATTTTACTAATAAACCATGAGTTTGTTTAAAACCTATTACAAATGAGTCATTGACTTGACAGGGGCATGAAGGAGCACCTGAAGAGTGAAGTTGAGACCATTGCTAGAGCCAAGGCTTTTCTGCGCAAGCAAAGAAGGGCACTGAAACAGAGGCAGTCAACTCTGGCTGCTGCTAAAGAAGAATTTCTGAAGGACAAGAGAAAACTGCAGCAAGGAGTAAGTATTTAATGTGTTTATGCAGACTGTATTAAGTTATACTCCATTAATCAAGTTACCCACCGTCATCAGTGTATGCTTTATCATTGTACACGCCTTGATTATTGTAGACACTGATTATTGTACACAGTGTCATTATTGTCACTTTATCATAGTGTACATCATTATTACACACTATAATTATTTTACACACCATCATTATTGTACACACACACCATCAGTTATTGTACACACCATTATTATTGTACACATCATCATAGTGCAGATCATTATTATATACACTATAATTATTGTACACACTATCATTTGTGTACACACTCAGTATTGTTCGCATCATCACAGTGCACCTCATTATTATAAACACTGTCATGATTATACACACTATCTTTGTTGTACACACTATCACTGTTGTTGACATCATCTTCGTACACACTATCATTCTTGTACACACTGTCATTATGATACACACCATCAACATCATTATCATAATACACACAATAATTATGGTACACATGTCCGTTATTGTACTCTTGCTCTATTAGGCGATGAAAAGCAGAAGGAGATAAAGATGAACAGGAAAAGAAAGATGAAGGCATTACCACCTTTATGCCCAGCAGGAACATACCGCTTTTTGATAGATGTATTTAGAAAAAAACATATACAGGCACACAGCACTGCACACACACATGGATTTAATGGGCAAATTGCTGAGAATCTTCCAAAGGCATTATAATGAATAAAAAGTTAAAAGGTGAAATACTCTTTTCATGCCAGTGGCGTATTGGTCATGTGATGCTAGATGCTAGACTTATATTTTGGTAGACCAGTCGGCACTCATGGGGTGATGTGGTAACCATCATGCCGACCACCTTAACTTCCCCACCTTAACTTCCTAGAACATTTCCCGGTACTGATTTTAGGTCAGGTTAGCCTGGGAGCCAAGGTCATATTTTGGAAATAATCTAGCTTGATGCTGATTCAAGTTAGGTTTGTTTGCAACATGCATAATACTTTCCTGCTGATATTAGCGTTATAACTTTCTGTCTGTGTTGTAGAATATCTCAGACAGGGGCGCCAGACTTCTGGATGAGGTCAGACAGTCCCTGGAGACAGAGAAGTACCAGATTGATGCTCTCCAGACACAGGTCAACTCTGGGTCAGTGCTGCTGAAGCAGAAGGAGGAAAAACTGCAGCAGCTGGAAGATTTAGCCAAGGAGGTAGATTGGCTTCTGAAACTAGTAGGTTGTTTTATTGCTGAGAGAGAAAGAAGGAGGTTAGGCAGTGAATACATTTTATTTTTAAAAGAAAACAATTTAGGCACACAGGCCTGTCTTGCATTCAACCCTTTTAGACTCCCATATTTCACAGCAATAGAATTTTATCTATAAAGCTTGTTTTGTTTATAGCAAAATACATAATCATCATCATCCTGTAACATTGTGTGTTGTTGGGTCACCAGCTTCTGTTGACTGTCTTGATAGCTCTCTCCACCTTTGGCAGTTAGTTGTGATGTACTTCATGATTTTATGCCAAGGCCTGTCCAGACAGTCGGGTTCTGTAACCAGGTCTTTCTTGGTCTGCCTATTCTCCTCTTTCCCTCTACTGAGACCTGCAGTATTGCTTTTGAGAGGCCGTAAATACATAATATGAATATAAAATGAAAACACAAAAGCATGAATCGCGAATGTGTATATGATAGAGACAGTGGGAGAGGGGACAAGAGAAAGAGGATGGGAAAAAGTTACAGGGATTGAAGAAGAGAGAAATGGGGAGAGATAGAGGAAAAGTGGGAAATAGAAAGGGATGGAGGGAAATTTAAGTTGCTGACATGTTGGGTAAGCAAGCACTCTACCTCCCAAACTACTACAGCATCTGTGATGGAATTATTACATAAACTAAAGTGATTAAATGCCAGGCACCCCCCTTGTGGGCTCCAGGGCCCCTTTCTTGGGGGAGGGGGTTAGACCCTTGCCCCCCCACCACTACCTTCCACCCCCACCCCCAGCAAGCATATCATGAAAGCCAACTAATTAGGATGTCTCCTTCAAATACAGTTGGAGTGCATCTGCCTGAGAGATGAGGAACCAACAATCTGCGTGCAAATAAGCCAGATCTGTAAAACAGATGTGTGCACATAACTCAAGTTCTAAGAATAATACCTAAGTCCAGAAGTAGATGAACAACCAGAACTTTTTGCGGGAGGCATTTCAGGAGTAGAGGAAAGAAGAGGCGAAGCATAAGAAATGGGATGCACATCACCATCTCTCTGTCTTTCTCTATCTCTCCCTCACACTCTTGTCTCCTAAATTTGTGTTTGTTTGTTTGTTTGTGTATGCGCTAAAAATTCCAGATCATTGCGTGGTGTTCATGTTTATAGTTGAATGTTTTTAACATCCATAGAGTGAAAATGAAAGGGATTCAGAATACTCCCCCTTTGGTCGGCCATGGCAGAGAGTGAAGATTCCCAATCTTGACCTTAGTGATGATGAAAGTAGCGGTGTGAGCAGTTCAAGTGCTAGTCTGGACAATTTCCTTTTAGGTAATATGATCATTTTGAATCTTCTTTATGTTCTTAAGTTTGTCAGGCATGGAATGTTATTAATTGATTAATACTGTTTCTTAAATACACACATAGATCTGTAAGGCGAGGTAAAAAGAGTGGGTGGGGTTTTATTGCAAAGGTGAATGGATGCTAAAAACAGAGCCTCACATATAACATCACAGCATCCTGTATGATAATGGAGGTGAATGCAGTAACAACAGCTTTCCAGTGGCTGGAGAGCAACACAGCCCAACATGTTGTAATTGTAATGGACTCATAGGGCATGCTTCAGAAAATAGAAACTTGAGTCCTCTGCATAGACTGGCTTGCATTGCGTGCAAAATTCAGATCAGAAACTTATCTTGAATTTACTATTCAGGATATATGGGTCAGCCGATGTGCTGAAAGATATTCAACACTGGCAGGAAACAACATAGGTGGACAGAGTTATTAGCATGTCAGTTTTCATTGGCTACTGAAGGAGGAAATGAAGCACATGTGCTAATTTCTTGAATGTAATGATGTGAATTCTTGATTCAATAATACATTCACTTATAATACTGTCTCTTGCATAACATTTATATAACATGGAAATTTATTAATTTTTATTTCTTTCAAATTATCTTTTCAGGATTTACCTTTTATATTTTTATTTTTTTTTTTAATTTTAAATTGGTAGGGATATGCACTATAGTAGAAACCTGACTCAGGCGTGAGCGCAAGCTTTAGATCATCAGAAAAAAGGCCTCCTTCCACAAATTTTTCAGGTCATTAAAAAAAAAACCTTTTCCTTAGAGAAGATAAACCTTGTGTACTCAACACCCTTTTGTTGTTCCAGTTAATGCAGCATGGTTGAGAGTGCACTGATAAAGATCCTTATTGGTGCAAGGTGTTGGACTGCTTGCTCCTCCTTGGAGAAATAAAACACAGAGAAAGAAAAAGAAACCGGCTAAATATCTTCCTTTTTGGCAGCAATGGACAGACAACTCTCTTTTGATACCTTTCTTTAGTTGTTACTTCTCGTGTTTCCTTGACACTGTATTGAATGTTTATTGTCCCTTTTTTCTTATATATCTAAAACTTGCACATGTACAGATCTTGTTAAATACGTTTTATTGTTTTGGAACCTCTTTTGTTAAATTTTTATTTTTATCTTGTTAGTTTATCTGTGCATTTCGTGACTGTTAGCATTTGAGCCAGTTTTGTATACAATAAAATGTCCTTTATATAGCCGGTCTTAAAATGTGCTTTCTGTAATTTGTTTCAGGTCGCAACAGTCATTTGCCAGCTCCATCTTATCCTGTATCTGGTACTGGCATTGGTACTGAAGACCTTTCCAGTGCCCTTCACAAAATCAACTCTGAACTCTCTCGTGTTCTTAACTTGATAGACAAGGAAGAAAATATCACCAGTTCCAGTAGGTATTTGTAGTGATTAGTGCACTTGCTTACCATGACAGTGGTTAAGGTTCGTTCCTCTACTGTGAAAGGATTTTGTTTGTCTGCAGAAATTACTCCAGAAAGAAGACTGAAATATATTAGGCACAGAAATGGCTCTAGAAAGTCCCTATGTGGGTTCCTGGGTTTCATTATGGGGAAAAGAATAATCGTCCCACTGACTCCTCACAAACAAAAGTTAAAGTTGACCAATTAGTGGTTTCCTTGGAAGTCTAAGTACATCTGTCGGAAAGGGCAAGGAAACAACAGTCTGCATAGAAGTAAGCCATACGTGTAAAATTGATGTGGATGCAACACTCAAGTTCTGGAACAAGACCTCCATAGGTGGACGAACAACCAGAACTTTCCGCCAGAGTTTACAGCCGGTAAAATGTGAAGAAGAAGAAGTCATCATCATGGGCTGTCATCACCGATGCTGTCTCCCAGTAGCTAAATAAAACATTATTGTCTGGAAAGATGAAAAAGTGCCATCTAGAAAATATGAAGCTTATCACTTCATGCACGCTCACACAGCATTATTTACTATAGTGCTAACTTTACCTTGTAAAGTACTTTGTTCCACAGGCAAAAATTTACTTTTGTGTATATTTTTTTTGTTAATGCAGATAGGAACTCTCATGCTTCACCATCTCATCATCATTACATGGGTCTTCCAGTGGGGGTTCAGTGGACCCCACACCCACCTCAGGGGTGAGTATAGTATGTCTCAGTAACAAGTAACATCATAATATTGCTTTATATTTGTCATAAATGATAAGCTAGCTCATAAACCACAAAACTATACTGGCAGTAGAAAGGCTTCTGTTGCTACCATGTTTCCACACAAAAATAAGATTAGGGCATTCTTGCTCTAAACGACGCCTCAGAGCTTATATTTAAGGGATGTCTTATATTTTTGTGTACGAATAAGGGGCACACTTGGCTATTTACAGTTTTATAATTGGAATTTATATTATAGTTTATTTTAAAACTTGAATATTAGTAATATAATTTATTTATATGGGGGACACTCCCCGCAGTGACCATAGCAGAATATTTGTTTTTAGCTTCAGGTGAAACATGTTGGAGCCAGCCACATCATTGTTGAAGTTGTTGTTGTTGTTGATGACATGTACTACTGAGTAAACTGACTGCCTCCTCAAATACCCTATGCTCTCAAATGTTTGGTAAATGAACTGCCATCTCCAACAATTGCTACTCTGTGGCTCCCTGGATTAGCTAGAGAGGATTTGCACTTTCATTAGAATGGCATTTATTTGCCAAAAGTTGACAATACATCCACACTGAGATCAGCAATGATAGTAATGTAATTTTATTATGCCATCATGTTAATATTTTAGTTTCCTTTCTAATATTTTTTTTTTCTTTTCTTGTTGCCACAGTGTTCACTCATTAATTTTTGTAAGTGTTTTCCTGAAATGTTGACTTTCAACTTTTCCTGTTTTGCACAAGAAGGAATTCAACTATAGCATGAACAAGGTTATTAAAGTGCTATAAGAAAGATTGCAGTAATTGCTGTAAGGAAGACTGTAGTGAGAAATTACTATATGGAAAATACAGTTTTTGCTGTATGGCAGATTACAGTGAGTAGTTACAGTATACTCATGAAAGACTGTAATGAGTAATTACTGTATGGTAAATACAGTATTTGCTGTCTAGGAGGTTACAATGGGTTACTTATGAAAGACTAGTGAGTAATTACTATATTGAAGACTGTTGTTATTGCTATATGGAAGACTGCAGTAGTGACTACACTTCTACTCTATGGTAGATAGCAGTGAATAATTACTACGTGGGAGATTACATTGAGTAATTACTTCATGGAATACAGTATATAACACCTGTTTTGAATAACATTATTTCAGACCACCACCTAAAGATTATTCCTCATTGATCTACACAGCCGAACAGTCACTGGAGCGGAAGTGGAGGAAATATTTTGGAGGTATAACAAGTATATCACAATTGTTTGTTATATAGTTAAAAAGAAACAAAAGTAAGGGCCAGTACACTACAATCATAAAGTGTAATTTTTATAAGTATCTGTTAATGTTTTTATAACCTTTTTTTAGGGTAACTCGTGATGTTTGTCTGGTTAAAACTTTAAAACTATTTGATGATAATCTGTTGAGTTCAATCAGCACACGCTCTTTGTAGATAACAATGCAGTGATAATTTGTTGTTTTAGAATGAGAGTTATATATTATATAGTAAAGAATATTTTCAAGGTACAGATCCATAAAATCTCCCATGGCTCTTTTTGGATTTGAACCCATGAACTTTGGATCCACAATTGAGTACATAGCCTCTATACCACGATGGCTTGCTACTGAGCACATGATAATTAATGTGATTATTTCATTTTCCATTCAGACCGAAGGCCTGCCTTTACAGCCGGACCATCATATCTCACGTCTGCTCATGGTTACGGACATGTTCTGACTTCTAGGTATAATTTTATTAACAACTTTCTTCGTTTATTTAACGAAATTTCATAAGTACAACTAGAAATTGTAGACACTTTATTTATGTTTGATATGCAGTTCTGTGGCTTGGTGGTTAGTGAATTTGTTGACCAGTTTCATGATTCTTGGGTATTCATGGTTTTTGCACTATGTTATGAGAGGTACACACTGGAAGAAATTGAGGCCTAACGACCTAATATTCCCTAGGCAGTATTGGTACACAATTGCATATTTTCATTGTGGTGACAGCACAGTTTTTATCTTCAGATAAGAAACAAAGAATAACAGTTATTTTATCTGTTCTCAGGAACAGTTGCTTGAGAAGGTGAATAAGTAATTTTAACCCTTGGTGTTATATTTAGAAGCTAAGAAAATTAATAAATAAATGTTACTTTCACAAACACTTGAAGTTATATAACACTAGACTTACATAACGTGTTTATTCTGTTGACAGAGATAGCCATCACAGAATCAGCATTGCAGAACCCCGTCCATTTGTAGCATCCATACAGTCACAGCTTGCAGAGCAGAAAGAATGGCTGAATCAGCGACACCAGAGAACTGAACATTTAGTCTCTCCTCATTTCTCGGCTCAGAGATGGGAGTCTAGCTCTGTGTATCCTTTTTGTTTTTAAGGCTTCATAAGTTGAAAAATTGGTTTGTTGGCACCTTTTTTAATGATATATTGTACTTTTCCCCAGTGTGGAATCCCGATCCCTTTTGTGAGGAAAACAAGAATAGACCAGCTGCATCCCCAGTAAGCATGTTGTTAGACTCATGAATTGGGTGTATCTTTTCTAAATCAGCACAGCTGCCTGAGAGGCAAGAAACCAAAATCTGCAAACATATAAGCAGATCTGTTAAACGGATGTGCACGCAAAATTTAGGTTTTGGAACATGACTAGAGGTGGATGAACAACCAGAACTTTTCACTGGAGTTCACAGCCAGTGAACGTTAAGAAAAAGAAGATATTTTACTATGGAGAGGCATGGGAGTCACTGCCTGTGTCGATGCCAAGTGTAATTAGCTTGACCCGCTCACGGTATGTCATCCACAATTAAAGCACAGGATTTCAGGACCATTTCTGACATCGGGTGAAAAATTAAAGTTTAAAATATTTACCTGTCTTGTTTGTATGGAGCTGAAACATGGCAAAGAATTAAAGCAGTTACTGATAAACTACAAACATTCATTAACCGGTGCCTGAAAATAATAGAGGGTTTTAATTAGTATGATAGAATCATTAATGTCATGCCATAGTGAGAGAACTAAACACATTTCTTTAAACCAAGAGGTGAGGAAATGACATTGGCCTTGGATAGGACACATGAAGGGAAACCATGAAAGTAATAATATAACTAGAAAACTAGAATGGCTTTTGCATCAGAACCCACAGAGTCAGCATAATTAAGGCACACCAAAACAAAACAGAGTAGGGAACTTCATAGTGAAATTTATAAGATTGTGAGGACATGGAGTGACTCGCTTGCGATGACAAAAGGATAAGAGGATTTAGTGTGAGTTGGTTGAGGTAAGAGGCAGAGTTTACAAATAGTTTAGGTACATGTCATAAAAATCCCCCCATCATGTCGAGCACTTGATTTCATCCAGGCTTCCCTTCATGCCATGGTCGTTCCCCTGTCCTAGGTTGTTGGGGTGTTAGAATATGAGTTTGCTACACCTTCGCCGTCTAAACACACCGTGCGGTCAGGGCACGACCGGTGTGAAACTGTTTTGTGGCAGGCGACTTTAGAGACTTTTTTGGGTGTGTGTTTGTGTGCGTGTCCACGTTCAACTAACTTTCTTTTCTCTGTCAGCTCTGTCTTATGCAACCGTCACTTGTTTAAGATACGTGTTTCTTCGCCACTGCCGTCTATCACACTGTGGAGCTCTCTTCATTGCAGGCGACATTGAGAGACTTTTTGTGTGTGCGCAAGCATGCGTTCAACTAGTTTTATTTTCTGTGTCAGCTAGGTCTCTTGTGCAACCATCACTGCTGCGAGAACCTGTGACAATTTGGGCGGGCCCTGGGTCATGTCACCAGGTAAGGTCGAGGTGAAAACGATGAAGAGCAAACGCACAAAGCAAGTGACGCACATAGTGCCGGTCGCTCACAACATGGAAAATAAAATGTGCTGGCCGCTCACAGTGTAGAGTATAGAATGCAGATAGTAGTAAAAATAACAAACCATAACAACCCTAGACCATAGGACAGCCTGTGGGCAATCTCCTCCCTAGTGTGATCTACGTGATATGTTCCAGAGTTTATAACTGAACTCAAGAGCAGAAGAGAAATAAAGAAGAAAATATTTACCCATGCATTTGTCAGTATTCACATGCAGTGGTCTCTGGTAAAGTGATTGGGTCATGTGCCTCAAGCTGTGAAGATTGTGGCTGTGTTTTTGGAATGTGCCGTTCAGTTTGTGAATTCAGTGTTTTCCTAGTTGTATTGCTTATGCCATTCATTCTTCAGTGGGACTCGACAGCAGTTGCCATATTCTCAAAATTGAAAGTGGGCTGGGCAGCCCATCACTAATAACATCTCTGCTGACTTTTTGGGAATATGAATATCTGCTTGTTTGTTGGAATACAAATGTTAACTTTTTTCCAGAGTACAAACGGTTTCTTTTACACTGTACGTTTCCTTTATTTACTTTATGAGAGCAGTCTTTTTTTCTTTTACAATGTACGATTGTTTCTTTGCTTTTTCAGAATACAAGCGTTTCTTAGTTTTTACGATACAGATACAGTGTTGCAGTTCTAAAGATTAGGAAATTCATGTTATCTCTTTAATGTTCATTGCTGAAGCATTTCTTCACCCATTAGACTTTTTTCTTAACAAAATGAACCAGCCACAGCACAGGGCGACATTCAACAGCGTCTCCTAGACCTGAGCCCAGTATCAGACTTGAACTCGACAGTAACAACGAAATACGTGTGCGGCATTTGTGAGAAGCCTACACATGCAGTTCTATCCTGTCGACATCAGTATAGCCTAGAAAATGAAGACGCATGGAGACACAATCAGCGGGTGACCAAAGAAGCCCTTCAGTGTTGACTGAAAATTCATTTAGGTTTGGACTGAAATTCGTCCTGTTAAAATTGACAGTTTGGAATAAAAATAAATTGTTGCAGCGGAAAAGGCAGTGATTGAATGAATGAAGAATGAATGACAGTAATTGATATCACTGCACTCTTTCATTCCCACGTCTGCTTCATCGGCTTCTTCAGTAGCCAGAAAAGAGTTCCTTGCTAATAGTGCCAATTGTTACCTAATTGAAAGTCCACTTATTCAAAGCATCTTCCAGATCCACTGCTCACTCCTTGTTGAATTATCTTACCATTATATTGATGTTCCGACTGTCCTTGGGAAAAAGAATCTAAAGAGGAAATGTGGAAGAAAGGAGGGAAAGAAAAAACAAGAAGGGACTAAATAATTGTCTCTTTTAAATACTCAAAGACAGAGCACAGTTAAAAAACTAGTAATTCTTTTGTCTAAACATAGAGCACATTTAAAAATTATTTTATATCAGTTAATTGTCTAAATATAGTGCACATTTAACAATTATTTTATATCAGTTAATTGTCTAAATATAGAGCACATTTAACAATTATTTTATATCTTTTAATTGTCTAAAGATGGAGCTTAGTTAAAGACTATATGTAATAATTATTTTAATTGTCTTAATACCGTGCACAGTTAAAGACTGTTATTTCTTTTAATTGTCTAAAGATGGAGCTCAGTTAAAGACTATATGTAATAATTATTTTAATTGTCATAATACCATGCACAGTTAAAGACTGTTATATCTTTTATTGTCTAAAGATGACGCTCAGTTAAACACTGTAGTGTATATTTCAATTATCTAAACACTGAAACATATATTTCAGTTGTCTAATGTTGGATCACTTTTGAAGTCTTTAGTGTAAGCTTTAATTATCTAAAGACGGTAATGCATATTTTAATTGTACAACATCAATATTATACTATTCTAAATATATTTTTAGTTTTCTAAATTTTACAGTTGAAACTGTTTTTGTGTGACTGAAAATGTTAGTGAGTAAACTTTCAAATGATAACAAAGAGTCTCCACGGCAATGTGGCTAAACTGTACTTTCAGATTACAGTGGTACCTCAGTATATGTCCGCTTTGTAATAAGTCTGATTCGGTATACGTCCTGTGTAGACGCGAACAATTTTGCTTGTTATACTACCCTTGTTTGAATGATGACTTGTGTCCTAGAATTTATATAATTCAAAGTAAGTCATGACACCGCACACTACCCTTGGTAACCTCTTGGGAAAAGAAACAGAGAAAAAAAAAGAAAGAAAAAACACAAGAATTTCAGAATCCTCAAGATTTATTGGTAGGGGACTCTCCTTCCAAACTATAACATCTCCTCCTCCTCCCTTCTCAGCACCATCCTAGCAGGCACTCGGCTCTTCTTAGGTGGAGTTAAATTTGCATTTATTTCATCAAATTGCTTTTTTATTTATGTATTTTAGTATTAAGCAATGTTTAAATTATTTTATGCAACCCGATCAACGTATAATATGCCAATAGCAATATGTTGTTTCATGGGAACAAATTAATCATTCTGCCTGTATTTGTAATGGGAAAATCTGTTTGGTACACATCCTGTTTGTTCCAAGGATCGGAACAGATTGAGGCAGTGTTTCCCAAACTTTTAATAGTCGCGGCGCGTTTTTTTCAATGAAAAATTTTCCACTGCGCCCCAACCTAAGTAAAAGTATGACTTCTTATGTAAGAAATAAAAAAAACAACTCATGTTTCTTCAAATATTTCGTGGCACCCATGTGAAGAGGTCGCAGCTTCCCGGGGCGCTCCAGGGTACAGTTTGGGAATCGCTGGATTAAGGAGATATACCGAGTCCCACTGTATATCCTCATTCTGAATAACTTCTAAAGACATTTTTAATCAACAGAAAAACAGTGTTGACAGATGTGCATGATTAGATGTAATAATACAACATATTAAGGCAAAACTTTTGGCCAAGAGAAACGTGGGTGCAAGTAAAACTTTACGGGTCACTGAGTGAATTACAAAAGACAGTGAAGTTCCACACTAGAGACCACATTGCAGGTATAGATAATTTATTTCAAGCGAATGAAAGAAGTAGTAGTAGATGTAATAAAGTGGTTTTTTTTAGAGCAAATTGATATATATTCCATGTTTGGCCTTTGAAAAAAAAGCGGCTGGCACATTGTGTTGTGGTTTACAGCTAGGCTATAATATAGATGCCTTTCAGCTCAACACATCCAGTTTCATCAAGCCCCTAAATAATTCTCTTTTTTGACATGCTTGTTGGAGGGCAGCGAGTCTGTTAATTCTCCCACTCCAAAATGGGTAAGTGACATCGGGTACTGTGTTAAATAAAAGTTTTTTTAAATTAAGAGATTACATTTTATTGCAATGGATTTCTATTTGCTATTCATGGAACGATCCCCAGGGATCTCCATGTAAAGTGTGCTTGTGAACCCACTGATGCAATCCATGAAATAAACCCACAACTCTGAGAGAGCAAGGCCAACAACTTAGCCACTGAGCCACACAGACTCATTAGCATATAGGGGTACTTGTGTCTAATTTTGTGAGAGAAAGATGTGTAATGATACCTTTTAAAATTTGTAATGTGGAGGAAAACTGTCTTCCTGTTTAACTTACTCAGCCATTGATAGCTGTTTTATAAAACTATATTTAAACAGTGTTAAAAAAACACAACAAAAAACATATGTTATCTAATGGCACCTTTTTATTATCTGATGGAAAAGCCTGTACACATAAAGACAGTCGATGACCCAGATGCAGCAGATGTCAATTTATTGGGTGAACCCTGAAGTATTCTTATGTACAATTTGAACAATTTCACTTATTAAATTGCTAAGAATTAGCAATTTTTGTTGTTGTTGTTTAAATTATTGGATTGAATAACTAGACATGTCTGGCTATGTAATTGTTTGGTTTCTTTTGTTCTCTGTTTTAGCTTTTACCTGGTTGAGATATTACCTGGTTCTTTACCTGATTGTCTGCTTGAATTATTGGCTGACTGAGGTCTTGTCTGGTTGAGCTATCGTCTGGTTCCTACTGTGTAGGTTATCTGGCTGAGATCTTGTCTGGCTGAGTTAGTGTCTGTGTGATGCTGATATTTGATAAAGAGATATAGTTTGGTTAAGTTATTGTCCTGCTGAGATATTGTCTGGTTGAAGTTTGAACATCGGACCAACATCATGGTACACGGGTAGTAACCCATAAGTTCTCAGTTCTTCTTCTAACTCAAGTCTAGATCCGAAGAAGCTCAGCACAGTGCACAGATGCTGTAGCACCGGCAAGGATCCTGAAATACTTTAGGTAGATTTTTAACTCCAAATTTTGCTTGGGCAGCGCGGTTAGGCTACTCTTTTTGATTTCCAACAGCCAAGGGATTTTTTATGTGCGCAACAATGCACACGGGCGTCTGATTTCACTACCCAGATACCGAGGGGGGGGGGGGGGATTACTAGAATTCCAAGTCTACCAGCCTATACCGGGGATTGAACTCGAAACCTAATTTCACGACATTAAAGAACGTGCCGGATCCAGGGCAGCAGGCAAAGGGATTTGAAAGGAGCTAAAAATGGTGCTAAAATCCTGCTGATGGTGGCTACGGTCGACCTGTTTTGCACCTCTCCCACTACTATTGGTTGTCTGGTTGAAATATTTTCTAGCTGAAATATTGTCTAATTGTCATTGTTTGACTGAGCTATAGTCTAGTTGAGTTATTGTTTAACTGAGATATTGCCTGGCTGAGTTATTGTTTAACTGAGATATTGCCTGGCTGAGTTATTGTTTGACTGAGCTATAGTCTAGTTGAGTTATTGTTTAACTGAGATATTGCCTGGCTGAGTTATTGTTTAACTGAGATATTGCCTGGCTGAGTTATTGTTTAACTGAGATATTGCCTGGCTGAGTTATTGTTTAACTGAGATATTGCCTGGCTGAGTTATTGTTTAACTGAGATATTGCCTGGCTGAGTTATTGTTTAACTGATATATTGCCTGGCTGAGTTATTGTTTAACTGAGATATTGTCTGGTTGAGCTATTGCTCAACTGAGTTATTGTCTGGTTGAGATATTGTTTAGTTATATAATTTTTTATCTAAAGACATGGCCTGGTTAACTGTTGTTTGACTAAACCAAAGTTTCTTATTTCAATATTGTCTGTTTGAGTTGTGGTCCAGCTGAAATATAATGTATTTGAGATACTGCCTAGCTGAATAATCTGAATGAGTTTTGTCCAGAAAAAGTCACTTTTGCCTTAAAAGATATATGATTACTAAGCAGTGTCCAGAGCATAAATTTGTTTTGATTTATTAAGCATGTTAAATCCGTCCAGAAATGTCAGACTGTGGCTTTATATTCCCTCCATATTCTTTTTTTAAAAAAATGATTTACATTTAATTTTCTGGAGCATAAACATTTTAGTTCACTGCAGTGCAGATTCAGTGACTATACTGTTCTGTCACAGTTGGCAGATTCAATGATTATACAGTTCTGTCACAGTGGGCAGATTCAGTGATTATACATTTCTGTCACAATGGACAGATTCAGTGATTATACATTTCTCTCACAATGGACAGATTCAGTTATTATACATTTCTGTCACAGTGGGCAGTTTCAGTGATTATACATTTCTCTCACAGTGGGCAGATTCAGTGATTATACAGTTCTGTCACAGTAGGCAGATTATCTGATTATACAGATCTGTGACAGTGGACGGATTCAGTTTGGTCAATTTTTGAAGATTTTATATCATTGCAGAGTACAGAGACTATATCACAAATTATGCAGTTCGCCAGTCATTAGTCAACATATCAGCAACTACAAATACTTTTTAACAACAGCAAAATACATTGGTGTGTATCTGTAATAAGATCTACTGGCTACGGAAGGA